GCACTTGCGCAGTATTTGTGGAAGCTATGTCTGAACAAGGTGTCCGCTCCGTTGTGTTTGGTGGCCGAGCCCGCGGCGGCCCCATGCAGACCGTCGGCGGAACGAAGGGCACCCAGGACATCTCATTCGACGACATCGCCGCCTGGGCCTACGCCCTTCTCGACGGAAAAACTGAGGCTCTTGACTACATCCCCGATGTGATGAGCTTAGCCACCGTCGACGCCTCCGTCAACCTCCGTAACTCCTGGCGTAAGGACAACCAAGCCCTCCCCATCGAGTTCATCTATGACCCCGCCAAATACCGTCTCTCGTACACAGCGGAGATGATCAGGTACCCCGAGGCCATGTGGAGAGCCTCTAAAGACGTTGCGTGGAACGGCGCAAAGCAGCTCGGCGATCTTCCTGTCAACGGCAAAAAGAACCGTGCATCCCAAGACGCGTCAGGAAGCACGGTGAAGCTCAAGTCCAAGAATCATTCTTACAGCAACGGTGAGAGCGCTGGCTCCGCGGACAAAGATTTAACCTGGAGTAGCATTGGACAGTTGATTTGGTATAAGCTTTACGGACGGACCAGGTAGAGAGGGTCGGGGTTGGTGCTTAATTAGACTCTAGAGGCTATTTTCTTTCTCTTTTTTCCCTTTCTCTCGGGGGAGCTCGGTTTTGTATTTATGCATTATTTTTATTTCCTGTTGGTGTATTTTTCCCCCTATTTCGGTTTCTCGAGCTCAGGCGCGCGTGTACATATAGTTATCTTTTTGATCATTGACGAGGCATGTTGAGCCCCATCTTTTCCTGGACAAGCTTTTTGGTGCGACTTGACCTGTGCCGTATGCACCATCCCAAGCTCAAAGCGAATAGCAAGATGCACATTTGGAATGTAGACTAAGCTTCAGAAATTTCGATACAACCCAAAAAAAGAAAGAAGATAAGGCTGAAACATCGGTGAACATCCCTTAGTTAGGCTCAGGGATGTGGATCAATGAACCGATCCGCAGGCGCAGCCACTGCCGGACCCGAGTTATGGGGTAGGTGTGGTTTGTACCATGAGCCTTAAATTACCCCGGGGTAGAGTGGTGGTTGTGGTTGTAGGGGGGTGTTGGGGAGGTTGAGGCGATTACAGGGAGATGAGCTCTTAAAAAGGCGAGTGATCCATCATGAATAAGCCCCCCCCTCCAAAAAAAAAAAAAAAAAAAAAAAAAAAAAAGAGAGAAAAAATTCAACCTTTACAACGTACATATCTGGCACTTCAATATCAAGAATTGTAAAAGATTAACTTATTATGTTTTATCTACACCCGGCCACTATCTCTAGTCCAGTTCCAGAAACCTAACGCCCCATCCAATTGCAATTAAATACTCATATGACATCCTATGTACTAGCAGTCATGCCATGCCTAACTGCTCCACTCCGCAACATAGCTCCAACTCCACCCACATTTGCCCACCTTTTTCAAAAAGTGCTCCCTAGTCAGCCCCTTTCCGGGCCTATCGTCAAACTTAGTTGGGTAGTATAGTGTCACCTTGGTATTCCGTGGGACCACAACATCACACATGTATCCCCGCCCTGTCCCGTCGGGCTGCATCAAGTAGAAGTTCTTCACGTCAAAGTCGTTGCCCACGTTCAGAAAGAGAACATATTCACCTTCTTTCCTGATTACCGGGAGGTGCTGGCATGGTAATGAGACCGCGAAGCGGGTTCGTGTATTGGCCTGGAGCTTTTTGGTTGGGGGCGAGACAGTCTCCTTGCTAAAGTTGAACAGATCTGTGAACTGTTTGTAGAGCTTTGGGGGCTCTGGAGACAGCATATATTCTTCCCAGCTTATCGTGCGCCCATCTTCGCGGTATTGCTGTGAGGGCTGCTCGGGAAAGTGTTTTTTCCCAAATACACTAGCTGGGGAAATGAAGTGCTCGGGGGAAAACTCCTTTATATATTCGTTGTTCGATCCACGATGGCCGGCCCCCCAGCACGAGTCTATGAGATGCCAGTGGTTGCTCGAGAGCTTCACTGCGTTCCATGCGTGGTTCATGTTATAAGCCGGTGCTGGTGCACCAGGGGCTGGATCAGTGTGGCCGAAGCCTTTGCCGTGGCCCGTTACCACTACACATTGAAGGCCACTGTAGGTGCAGAGAGCTTCAAAGAGATTTGAGTAACCTGCGCAGACAGAGAGACCGGTTCGTATTGTTGATTCAGGGGACTGATCGGGGATTTTTCCTGCAAGCAGGGAGCGTACGTCGTAGGAAATATTATGGTGAAGCCAGGTAAATATTACACGGGCTTTTTCAACAGTACTTGGGAATGGAGAAGTAAGTGCTAAAGCTAGGGTCTGAAGGGAACGGACTTGGGAGCGTTGAAATTGCGGGAGTGAGGCGTGATGATCAGGGCCCGAGTAGTCGTAGCATATTAGACACGGCAATGTGGATGTTGTATGGGGTTTACAAGATGGGCTTGAGGAAGGCCGACTGGAGACTGGTATGGGTGGGGGTCTTGTAGAGCGAGGGATTGGAGGTGGATTCGACCCAATAGCAGAGTCTGTATGTGATGCCGGGAGTGGGGGTCTCTGTGAAATCGGAGGAGGAGCAGCATTGCGAACCGGAGGAGGTGGCAACCGTCTCGGGACAACAGTAGCCTCGCCAGAATTTCTTCTAGAAGTCTCTTGGACCGCCGTAGTGGTCCTACGGGTGGGAAGTGGTGGTGTTGGCCGAGGTGCTGGCAAGCTGTTTATACGTTTCGGGGGCAGCGGTGTATTTGTGATCTTCTTATCGGGAAACTGGACCGGTAAAGAATCTTTCCCAGTATAGATGGGTGGTAGTGTGCGTGTACTGGATGTGCTTCCAGCATGGCTATTACTTGAGCTGGTACTCGTGACTGAGATGATGCTTTCAGTCATTGAGGATATACTGGTCTTCCGCCGGGGAAGAGGTGGGGGTGCTTGCTTCTTTGCGACACCCGAGCTTCCAGCTGTAACAGAAATACTAGTAGTTGTAGTTACTCTAGTTGTGGTAGTTACGGTACTAGAACTAGTGGGGCGCGCTGGTGGCCGAGGCGGTAGGCGTGGAGTGCCTTTCGTCGTCGAAGAGGCTGTTGGGATTGAATCGTACTGCGGGGCATGGCGGGAGACCTCCTCCAACTGCAGCGTCTGTACGCGTTCTCGGATGCTCGTAACGGTACCTTTCTCTTGAACATGCATTTCGAAGTTTTCTCAATTAATCTGTTGGAATATTGAAGGAGCTCTCCGTGTTTGAGGTTCTGATATCTGGATGTGCGAGTATGGTTTGGGGTAGTGGCTAGCGACTTTCTCTCGACCTCCCCGCGGGGGGGAGATAGCTACTTACATACTGACTGCCTCAACTCACGCGTTGTTCTTCCATTCTCTTTTGTCTGCACTCGTTACCGTTACACATACATTAATGCGATGACTCAACAAGTGGTGCAAACTGTTCAATGCTTGTTTCTGCAGCCGGATAAAAGGTGCCGTAAGCTATTTTGGGAATCTGCTAAGCCCACTCCTCCCAAAGGCCCAGCACTCTGAGTGATGCCGAGTGATGCGGGGGTCTTGGGATTGGGATGGTATTGGAATATCTTGACTCGCTGTTAGCTAAGTGATCTTCTAGATTGCATGAAGAAGGAACCAGACACGCGTCATACACATCTCCAATTTGACACGCGGTTGTCTTTGACTGCTGGATAAGTTATCGTGGATGCAGCCTCGTTTCCAGAGATTAAGACACTTCAATCTCCAGGTTCTTACGTGTCGAGATAGGATCGAAATGCGTGAGATGTTCCAAGCACGGGCCACCAGAAGGTGTGTGCATTGAGGAGGAGGAGAGTGAAATGATATCAGTTCAAGGAAGATGGGGTTTATGTAGGTACATGTACTTGCGTACATGTACCTACATGGAGTAACGAATTCAGGTTCGCTGGGCATGCGTATATCAGCTCCCCTCGCGTGCCACGTGTGTTGATTGCGATACTTTGCAGCTGCAACAGTGTCCCCAAGAATCGGTTCATCTACACCTGCTTAACTACGCTGATATAAAAATGACTCGTCAGTACTCGAAAAATGCACCCGATATCTGGAAGACTGGAACCATGATGTTTATCACATTTATCTCAGGGCAATAGTGATGCTGAGACGGTCGGCCTTTTCACCTACTAGCTACTGCGGTATGTATGTAGACATTTACAACCGGATTAGTATTCTTCTTCTTCTTGCTGACATATATGTATTGTCAGCACTTAAAACTAAATTCCAACTACAATATACAATATTACCAGGAAAGTTTGGAAAATGTCGAGATGTTGCTTTACGATCTTTGCCGGTACCTCCTTCTTGGCTCACGCGAGAGATTTCACAATCTTAAAGTCCGAAAATGCTCTAATCTAGTCTGAAGTGACCAACTGATACTTCATTTAGCTACAGACCTCGGCATATTTAGTTTTAGCACTCATTCCAAGCAAGTGTATGAGACGCATTTACAAAACTAACACTTTGCTCACACACTACCCCGTGAGTGGGTGTATGAAGGTACGTCTTGGTTAGAGAGCCTACTACTAATACTAGACCTATTGCGCATAGACCACGTCTAGCTACAAACCTCAGGCCAGGCAATTGTCTAATATCATGGGGGGCTATATGAAAAGATTCCAGCTTCTCAGAATCACTAATTACTATATATATATAGCACTGAGCTAGGTTGGTGCCGAGTTTATGCCATAGTCTATGACTGCATGCAGAGTTTTGTACCTAGAAACAATAAAACTACATGATTTAGAGAAAAAAAGAGAAAAAAAAAGGTCGGTGCCGAGTTGAGGATTATTTAAAGTTTATTATATGCTCGAAAAAAGAGGATAGCGGTGCTGATATAGCAGCTAAATCATAAACAGGGGAATAAAAACAAAGAAAAGCAACAAAGAAAATATAATAGCAAAATAAAGTTATAAGATCTTAGGCCTATGTCCTCTCTTCTCGAGCTCCCATGGCTCTCAAACCCAGCTTCAGCTTAACGCTTCATCCGATTTTGGAAAGCGCCCAACGCCGCCTGTTTTCCATAATCCAATGCCTTCTCACCAAGCTGACTCCTCAAGGTGCTAGTCCCCAGACTTGGCTGAGTCCCCGCCGGCTTCTGAGGTCCATTCTCTGGATCGCTCGTCGCAAAATCACTCATACCGACTTTACCGCCTGTGGCCTTCCCAACCAAATAATCGCCCTTCTCTAGCGCCTTTGCCTGTGCAGTCGCAATACCCCATTCGGCAAAGACAATGGCGCAGATGGCGATGGTTGCAAGAAGGGAGAGTGCGAAGGCAGCCCAGCCAAAGCCGACGTTGGCTCCGCCAATCTTAGCCTCGACGGTGTTGATGCCCATCTTCTGGACTAGTGTTGAGACGGCGCCACTGAGATGTGTTAGTAGAGTTCAATGATCAATATGCAGATAAGAACAAACTTACGAAGTGACCTGTTGCAAAACCATAGTCCCCATGAGAGCCAGTGTCCCAAGGCTGCACCCAACAGCGGCGACCTTCTTTGTCCACGCCGGGATTGGGATCCCCGGAATACAGTTAACCGCAACACCCAACCATCCCACTGCCATAGCGATAACAGCGACCCACACGGGTAGCGAGAAACTGATCCTGCTCCTGTAGATATCCGCAATCGCCATCAGATCCAACGGATCGCCACCAAGGTCACCAGCAACCCTCTCCAAATCCGCCGAAGTCCTAGCGCAGTCCCATCCCTCGGAGTGGTCTACACAGAGACCGCGGTATCCAACGCGGATGAGACTGAATGTGGCGCTGTCGTTCTTGCTTGATGAGAGAAGGCCGTCGAGCTTTTCGAGGCCGTTGAGGACTTCGGTGGTGGTTTTGGAGTCATTGTAGGAGAAGGAGATGAGATAGAACTTTCGGAGGGCGGGGGAGGTGGTGCCACAAAGGATGAAGGTTGTGAAGACAGTCGAGATGGTTAGGAGTATCAAGGAGAAGAGTAGAACGGGCTCTAGAGAGTGGGTTAGCAAATGAACCGGAAAAGATGACGGAGCAGAGGTGGTTCTTACTTGTGAACTGGCCAATACCGAATCTTGAGAGTGAGAACATCGTGAAGTGTTTATGTGTAGGTTAAAAGTAGAAAAAAAATTGAAAATAAATCGTAAATGAAGATGTGTATGAAAAGTGAAAGAAGTTTGTACGTTTAATAAAGAACAGGCCCCGCTGTAAATTAAAGAGAAGAGAATTGAAGAAAAGAAAGTACAAAAGAAAAACGTAAAGGCGAAACAAGTTCGATCGTAGACAAAGTTTACTGCACTGATGTGATACTGGATAGAATAATTTTCAAGTTCAATGGGAAGAGTCCACAGCTTATATACAACACAACTTTCAAGCGTCTCTCCAATAGAATCACTCTTTTAATGTTTGATTTTAGCTTTGTTGATCTCTCAATGTCTTGGGCGCTTGTTCTGGTAACCCCTTGACGCCCGTGATTGGTCCCGCTTAAAATAGATGCAGGCTCTTTATATCACCCCAAACGTTAGTCCAAATTTCAGTTAACGCCTGGTAGATGAGTACTTTCTTTGGCGCAGCGGGAACACGCAATACAGAGGTAGATATGGATCGACAAGTGCAGGATCTGTACATGGGATTCTAGATAGAAAGTCGCAACCACATATTACTATGGTACTAGTACCCTCAGCTTCTTCCGTCTACTAAGCAAATGCTATTATTAGGTGAAGAATTATTGATACTCAGCTAATTAAATGTGTACCTAAAACTACCTTCGCGGGTATTCAATATGAGCAATATCTACTGAACTGTGAAGGGCTTTGCGCGCGACTCCTCCGTGGATCTGTGAAAGAACAAGACTTCAATACAAAGTAATCACCTAAGTATGCACATGAATGAAGGATAACAGCTGTAGACACAGCCGTTGATCGTATGACTACTAATCGCTTGACGATCCGTTTTGTCGCATGTACTGTACCTACACGTCAATTAAGGAGAAGACTTGTGTCGCAGATGAAAATCACGATATGTATTTTACGCGACGACGTTTATTTCCGAAATCCCGGGTATCGACATCTGCACCTATCAATGCCCAACCATGGACACACCGTGTTTGATATAGGCGCCACAAAGATCAATTGGCGTGGATCTGAAAAATTGATCCCTAAAGATCTTAAAACCAAGCTGAGGGCCGTAGGTGAGACCTAACCCCTAGACTAACGTAGTGGTTGCGGTTGCCGCCACCAATCCCAATAAGGATAGAGGACCCTGCATTTGGGATTCGCAACAACCAATGATAGGCTAGTAAGTTAATAGAAAAAAAATTTCAAAATGGTAAAATAGCAACAATTTCATAGGTTCCATGGCTCAGTTGGTTAGCGCGTGGTGCTAATATAGAAATATGTCAACGCCAAGGTCGAGGGTTCGACCCCCTCTGGAACCAGTCATCCTGCTAGGGAGTCATCTGCATAGGTATTTGGTCTCTCGGAGCAATCTATTTTTTATGCAGCTACAGTACAATCTCCTTATAAGGGTACGTCGGGACTGAAATTTGGTACCCTTATAGGAAGAGCAAATTTGTACCTACGAGGCCCAATGAGGTCCCCAACACCTACCTTTATAAGGCGAATACCCTTATAACCCGAACTCTTACAACGAGATTGTACTGTACATCGTACCAATGGCTTACTAGAGTCTTATCTAGAAGAAGATACCAAAAAAAAGCTTATCGGAACTGAAATACTGTCCAATTGCTTATAAAGGCATCAAAATGAGCTTACAGCCAGCATATAAGAGTTTGATACGTAGAAAAGCTTCCCTAAACTTCAATTGAATGCAGTTATACAGGAATTCAAGTTCCTTTTATCTTGACGGCGATGTACTTGTATGTAGCATATATCCACTGCATACTTGCCTAAACGCCCGCTAGATAAGAGACCCTACGTATACGCATCTCAAGAATTTTGAGCACTATTTGCCCTTACAGATCTCTAATCAGCAAATTTCCATAGCGAATACTCGGTCAAATACTAAATCACAGACCAAAGGTATCTGTAATGATCATATCCCAACTACAGTATAATAGATACATGTAATTGCCAAGCAAGCCCCGCAAAGTGGATAATTTCTCACAGCGTGAGTTTGAGCAGAGCTGCTTTAGAGAGATACTATGTGAATCACGTAGTGAAATGGGAACCCATAATAATAGAAACACACCGGTCGCCGGTACCCACCGATACAGAGACGGTATATTAGAATAGGACGTTTGCGTGGAACCGGGGCTGCCAGTCGAGAGCCTGTAAATCAAGTTTCTCTTTTGTGAGAGCTTCAGAATCCTACCAAGGACAAGCATCGGTATACAGAAGAAGTTCGAGAAGACAATATTTAGGTATGTAGACCTTGGTAACTTTCTTTTTGGGCTGACGTGCGCCATGTTCACCAGGGTTAATTATAATAATATCGAGTGATTATCTATGAGCGAGACTCATAGCGATAAGTACCTACATACATGTACAGCGGTGGGTAATAAGTCATCAGACGGAACGCCACCAAAATACGCGTTTGCAGGCAAAATTGTGGCTAGGTCGTCAGATGACTTATTACCCACCGCTGTACTACGGGTGTAGGGGTAAGTCTGTTGACAGTGAGAACTGTTGCAACCACGAGTACGTTATCAAGCACTTAGGTACATGTAATTACATGATGTGGTAGAGATACACCCTCCGAAAAGTTTTTTCCTTGATTTTATTGTATATAACATTTAAATCTTACCAGATGACCGAGACTCTCACTTCGTGGAGGACACTTCAGTATACGGGGTGGACGGTGATCCAGCTGTTACCGGGTAGATGAGGGTGAGTTCTTTTCTAGAGTTACATTATGTATGGATCAGGTCCTACATGTATCCATGATAGTGCCAGCAAAAGAATAAAAGGAAACACTGGACACAGCTAGTGTTAAATGATAAGTGGTTCCAGAGGGGGTCGAACCCTCGACCTTGGCGTTAACATATTACTATATTAGCACCACGCGCTAACCAACTGAGCCATGGAACCATGATGTCATTGAGATTTTTGTGATTTATCAACCTTTTGTAGCTAGAATCATTCGGGTAGACTGCCCACGCACATAAGGCTTTGCATGGTAGTTTAGTCATCCGTATCAAATACTTAGCTGCATGTAGGCAGATATCATTAGGCTTGAGACAGCGACCGCTTCACATTTTCACAAGAACCCCGCAAATATGATGGCCCGCCGCCTAATCCTCCTCGTCGATTTCGATGAGACTCTGACCCGGACAGGAAAAGATACAATCTCTCTGCTAGCATCCGCAGCCTATAAATGCCACCCAGCAGGAGCAAATCTGCCACCATGGAGTTATTTCGTGGATTCTTATATGCGTGACTACAACGATCATGTTGGGCAGGCACCAGTGCGGACAACACTGGAAGAAGAAACGGAGTTCCAAAAGTCCCTGAGAAAGGTGGAGAGAGCGAGCATTGATCGAGTTGAGGGAGAGGGGGTGTTCAAGGGTATCAAGTTGGAGACACTGATTAAAACTGCGGCGGAGAACAGGGGGGACATCATGAGGAAGGGATGGGAGAAAGTTGTGGATAAAGTTAGCAGGAGAGGGAGGGTAGCCATTGTTAGTGTTAATTGGAGTAGATCGTGGATTAGGAAATGTTTTGAGGGCTCCGATGTTGGGAAAATTGACGTCTTTTCGAACGAGTTTCTGGTCAATAGTCAGGACATCACAACCGGAGGTTTGGACCGATGGTTTGGCGATAAAGATGGTGGAATCTGGACGGGGTGGGATAAGTTACGGGTTATGAGGGATATTGTCGAGAAGAACTCTGGTGCCGGAGAGGAAGGTTTAGTGGTTTACGTTGGTGATTCAACATCAGATCTGCTGTGTTTATTGGAGGCAGATGTAGGGATATTTTTCGGAGAGAAGTTGGACAAGTCGTGTGATAAACTGGGGATAGAGATAAGGGAAGGTTTGACGAAAGGATACGTTGGAAAAAGCGGAGTAAGTTGTTTGGTTAGAGTGGAGCAGTGGAGGGAGATAGAGGAATGGGTTGAGGGACTTTGACGGTTTCCATAATAATTGGAAATAAGGCCTTTGTTCATCTAAACAGTGGCAAAAATGTTACAACAGGATTGACGATGTTCTAGAAACTCCATATGGCACCGTTTCCACCGTTCCACCGTTGTACAGTCATTCACAGGGTGAGGACGAACACTGGGTGAAGACGAACCAGGGTTCTCAATATAACAAGAAACAGCCAAGTTGCCCAAGTGATCTTTCTATTTATCCAAAAATCCTTGTTCGTCTACATCCAGTGTTCGTCCTCACCCTGTGAACGACTGTATCCTTCACTACCTTTCCGACTTATTTTCTATCTTTGTTCGAGGCAACTCCACTTCCTTATCTTTATCAATAGCCTTCAAATGAGAACTTGTTCGCCAAAACTTTCTACAATTTGATCCACCCACTTTACATCATGGCTTCGGCTACAAAGGCTGTGGAATACATGAGGAGACACGTACTGCATGCACCAGAGAGGATCTATCACGACCGCACCACTTTCTGCACCTTCTGGAGTTCTGCACTCGTGAGCAGATTAAATAAGAGGTTCCATTTTTGTGAAACATTCTTATATGGCCATGGAGTCATCGGACAGTGCTACTGATCTACCTTGGGGAAACCCGTGAGCACTTCATTGTTACTGAGGTATTTTACAACTTGAGTTTGACGGCCTTGGTTCCAACTCAGTCCACTGTCAGACAAGGGGCGAAGAAGGCCCCGAATGTAGGTACTCAACAGAATGTATAATCCAATTAGGAAGCCCTTGCTTCCATCTTTATCTTTGCATATCTGATGGATCATAAATCCCTAGCGTGGGACGGGCCGATACATATAGAGTGTATGCATTCCCTGTAGAGTACGACTCTGTACGAGACTTCGGGATCCCAGCATAGCCCCGTCTGCTCAGTTAACCAGGGCTAGGGTTTACTACCACAACAAGACATCCCCGCATCCTAACAGATAGAAATATTACTCGCGGCATATTATTAACGTAATATTCACCAATAACTACCGGTGGTAACGAGAAAATCAACGTCCTGTTTGAAAGAGGACCGGGGAACGGGTAACGGGTACACAAGACAGGCACAACATTACATTCTTCCTTACGTGCCATGAGTTTAATTTAGCCAAGGAGACTGCAGAAACTTGTCTGAGTGAGCGATAGGTACTCCGGTAGATTACACAGCCGATCGATGGCACTTTGGTCTCAATATTAATATTTTGGAGATACTTGGTTGTCACATGCAGCGGTATCATACACATGCAAGAATCGATCAAATTCCCAAGGGAGGCCCATTTTTCTTGGCCCATAGTTATCATAAGGTCACCATACAAGGCTTTATGTAGTCTTGATATTATATGCATTCCATATGTACATGTTACCATGATATATGAGAACATGTCTCAGATATACAAAAAAGGACTCTGTGTTCTTACTACGTACTCTATGCGTTACTCTACTTACGATGTATGTACTTCAACTCGCGAGAAACCACCGGCGAGAAACAACGTGTGTGTATGTAGCCTATCTAAACTGCAACCGGACAAGTATTAACATTATCCTGGCTCCCAGCCAAGGAAGTAACGGTAGAAACCGCAATGACCATCCAGTTAATTTTAGACATTTTGTGATAGAACCCATCTCATCACATCCTCCCCCAAAGCCTCGTCTGTCTCAAGTTTCAGTAACCTCGTGATGTCTCCACCAACCCGCCCCCATCCCTTTAATGGCGGGTGATAGGTAAGTGGCCGAGGAATGCCTGCATATTTCAGGCAAGGCCTCCCATCTAGGTACTAAGGATCAATCAAGGAGCCAAGTTAAGCAGATCAACCAAATTGCATGTATGTACACTACGAAATTTGACCTCTGTATTCTAAACTTTTTTTGAGAGTTTTGACAAAAATATAGACCAAAACATATTTTCGTATTTTCCCGCAAATGCTACTATTAGATGTAAAAGTGTACAAATATTTAAACCCCAGAAACTTACTATGATTGATATCTATTATGTATCCACTACACGCTATACTCAAGTGGGTATTCCGGTAATATCATGTAGTGTAATGAAGGCTGTCTTTACCCTTGCCAATATCCCCCATTTAGGGCCCGTTCAGTTTACTCAACACGAAGGCAGACAAGTAGTGAAACAACCAATAGTAGGGGCCTAATGCTGCTACTATCACTTTATTGGCTACCCCGCTCGATGCGCTGAGCGCTTAACGTCTTTAGTTAGGAGTGGTGGGGAAACGGGAGGGGGGTTGAGAACGAGATTGTGGTGGCCGGACGCGATGAACGCTCCCGCGGGTACTGGCTTTGGGGCACTGTAATGACTTTCAGAGAGCAAAAAAATTAGTATAAAAGGACCCTCGCAATCCCTAGATGTTCCTCCTCTTTCTTACACAACCACGCTCAAAACCTTCAATCCTATCATTACCAACCAAACAAAACACTTTACCAAACCCCCAACTCCAAACTCCAAAACTATCAACATGGGTGGATGCTCTTGCGCTTCTTGCTGCTCCGGATCTTGCGCCGGTACCGGTTGTAGCTGCGGATCTTGCAGTGTAGGTTTCTCCAGTATAGATAGCATCTCTGGAATGAACTAATCAGTGAAATAGCACTAAATCACCACTCTTTATCTCCACCTTCCGCCTTCAATCGATACCCGTCCATAAGCATCGAACATCTACCATCTAGACAATAGGTTAATGGGGAATTTAGAGGTCTTGACAACATCGGGAGAGATGGAGGAATGAAAGTTTCGGAATGGTTGCGGGAACTGTAGTTTTTCATTTGTTTAATATCAAATAAAACCATATATCAAATCACTGTGCATGTTGAATCAAAGGGCAAGGAGTGAAGTGATGAAAAGTATGGATCGAGAGAAGAGATAGGCCTAGATAGTAGAAGCTTTTACTTGGTCAGTGTAATAATATATTAGTAGAGACTGTATGGACTGGTTCTGGTTAGAGGGTAAGTATTTTAACGTGTACTTGATGACATGCATATTAAACGAATATTAGTTAGAACTTGAGAGTAGTATTCGCGTATTCTCATTAGCCAATCCCAGCTTGTATCCGACCTCTCAGCAGTAAGGTAATAAAGATAAACGGTCATATGTCGGGAAACTCAAATAATCTAGATAGTAGAAGCTGCATGTGTGAGTAAGTCTTTGTGTGTATGGTTGTATAATTGGCTTTGGCACTGGGCTCATAAAGTAATTCTGTATGACCAAAGTCGTGTAGGCAGTCAAACCTCTCCAATGTTAGTGTTCTTAAGTCCGAAGCACCCAAGCTTAAGGAGGACGTCTATTGGGGGTTAGTGGGGTAATCGAGACGAAAACAGGTGCCTCGATATATATTCGTTGTATAATAAAATTAGTTCAATATAAGCCATTCTTTTTCTAAGGCGTGTCAAAATCAGTTCAAAGCCGGACTATACTTATGAGTACTGAGCCTTATCACGATGATAAAGGCTGTTAGTTATTGCGAGGCCCTCTGCCTACCTCCCGTCCTCACGCGAAGTCGAGAAGATGTGTTTGAGATAGATGCGACCGTAGGGAATAGTCAAATTCTATGTTCGTGTTTAGTAGCAACTTCTTATCATTAATCCATCAGTAACGACCTAGATCTGTGTAGGTAACGATAAGATAAAAAGCGTGTTTTAGGTGAATATAGCAGTAACGATGGGGTCAAAGGGGCCTCACTTCCTCGCAGGCCAAGTGGTATTAAAAAAGAGTTGGAGAAAAAAAGAGAAATAGGGGCGGGGGTGCAGGTAAACATACAGCCGGCATAATGAGGACCTTGGGGGCTACATCTAACCACCAAGGTGTCCACTCCCCCCTCGCACGAATGAAATTCTTCGGTGTCCGCAAGCAATCGGAACGAAATACCGATCAAGAATATATATCTTGTCTTCGGATCGGATTGTGTGGCAGCGAAATATGTGTAGAGCTTGTAACAGTAGGAGTACCATCTCACGTTTCGCTCTAATCAACACAGAGATCCAAAGATACAAGTACCCGCGCAGACAAAACAAACCGCAACTACTCTATAAGGGTCTATTGTAGTTCCATATATTCACCTATCTAGTCGAGTGTCATTTTTTTATATTCCATCAAAAAGTGCCAATATACGTTAAGTATATGCAATAGCTGTTATTGTTGGTAGGTTCGTGCATGATACATCACTCGTGATGCTTGGCTTACAAATTTGGCTGACTAATCATACATAAGATATCACTCGGATGAGGAGCGAGTAGCACTTGCCCCATTTTTTTTGTTTTAGTTTTTGTTTTTGTTTAATTCATTAATTGAGCACTTGCCCCATTATATGCTCTAAGCCATTAATTAAAACCTTATACTTCACGCGGTATAAAGCACTGCTGTTGTGTGCGAGGCCCTGGCATTTAATCCTCTATCAACACCCATGTAGTTCGCTCACTTAATGCCAGAGCCTTTTAAAAAGAAAGAAAAAGAAAGAAAAGAAAAGAAAGTATACTTTGGTAGTTAGCTGGAAGCCATCCCGTGTATATTCTCAAGGCGCCTAGGGAACATGAAATTTCCCTGTTTTTTTGTTTGTTTAATTCGTTAATTGCATGCAAATGAAATTTCCCTACCCAAAAGGGGGTGGCCCCCCCCGGGGGGGGGGGGGGGGGAAGAATAAAGCTTGTATAGTAAACATGATATCTATATCTTTAATGACTAATAGCGAAGTTCTAATTTTTAGCATTTTGAAAATTATTGTCGTTGGCAGTGTGGGAGCCGTAATCAGACCATCAGGTGAGTAAATCTCTAGATCCCCAGAGGCGGGGCCTGGGGTTACAGATCAGCTGAACGGCTGAAAACCTTCAGAAATATCTACGGGGTGGCGTCCACTGTAAATCTGACTTCTCATAACATCTACATTAGGATCTAACTCTTGAGAATCATAATTACGGTCTCAAGTAAATATTTCCTGTATCATTGTATTCATAGCGGGATACTACTCAAAAGAACATATTTCAGTTTCGGACACCGCTTAACTCATGAAACTCCATTCTCGAAGAAATCCTAAACTACCAAAAGAAAGAAAGAAGAATCTACAATATTGGAGAAGAAAAACTACGTATTTACTCTTATGCGGTGGAGGGGGAAAAAATCAACAAGAAATCTCGAGATGAGGATAAACAAGATCTTATACAATGGGAAGAATGAAGACTCGGCCTAAAAATGATGAGGAAAGAAAGGTAATGCAAGGTCCTTGGCGGTTTTCTTTATGATAATTAAGCATAAGCATGCATACTATCCAACTGTCCTGTTCCCTTGAGATCATTTTCGAATCCCTCTGCCACATCAAGTACCGTCTTGATGTGTTTAATGGATAGCGTCTCACTCTTATTATTCGCGAGCGCCTGGGCAGTTCTAACCGAGTTCTTGATCTAAATACCCATGGCGTCAGTAAATCAATAGTCTTAAAGTATTATACGATACGAAGGGAATGACAAACCTGTCGTCCATTGAGCTTTCTCTTTGCTAGCCACTCAATCTCCTCTTGTGTCAATACGTCTGGCGCGTCAGGCCCGTACTTCACTCTCACCATTTCCAGGAACATCTTCCAAATTTTAACCTTGGCTTTGAAACCGAGCTCGTTGTATCTCAGAGCAACATGGATTCTGCTTTGGAAAGCATCATCAAATGTTTCGACCCGATTCGTCGTCAGAAACAGAATGCCCTGGAAATATTCCAATACACGTAGGAAAATTGACACCAGTGCATTCCGGTGCATGTCTGCCATTGTTCGTCGTTCAAGGAATACGTCGGCTTCGTCAAGAAGCAGCACTGCGCCCCAAGAATGTGCAATGTCCAATATCTTATTGAGTTCTTGTTCGAGGGAAGCTGGATTAGTACCTAGCTCCCCTGAAGAAACACAATAAAGCGGTTTCCTTAGGAGTTCGGCAATTCCCTCTGCAGTCAACGTCTTACCAACACCTGGAGGGCCATGGAGGACTGAGACAAGACCCCGCCCCTTGCCCTGGATTACATCGTCAATAGTTGATGATTCAATGTTCTTCCCAGTATGAGACTCGACAAGAGCCTTGACGATGGTCTTTTGAGCATCGGGCAGAACCAAAGATTCAAATGCCTTGTCATTCCACTGGATCTCCTCAACACCAGAAACAGCGAATTCCACTAAGGTTATAATATGTTAGCTTTTTGGCCTTTAAATCGAGGGATTAAACTTACGCCAGTATTTCTCTGTGAAAGCCCATCCAAGAACAACTGGCGATGCAGTAAGGAGCTCTTCATCGGTAAAGACGGGTTCAACTTCCTCCTCTGGCTCTTCTACCCTCTCGACTTTCATCTTCTTCACGTTTTCTTGCTCTTTTGTGACGACCTGGTAGTTACCCTTGTCATCGACTACGACCTTCAATCGTTCCAATTCCTTTTCTTCCTCAGTTTTGCCATCATCTTCCCCGCTGCAGCAACATTCAGTACATTCGCCACCTTCACCCTCTTCGGACTCATGTTCCTCTCCATTATTGTTATTATTCTCGGCCTCTTCATCATCGTCGTACCGGGATCTAATTGAGGAAATGACATAGTTGGGATTTATGCGCCGGAATGTCGCAGGGTCAATCATAATCCGACCTTTAACCTACTCGGGTGTTAGTATCCCCCTAACACGAAGGCGAACGATTGGAAGCTGGCTTACATGAATTTTAACATATTGGCGCTTCTTCCTGATGAATGCAATTCCGTTGTGCATCTTGTATTGCATCCCTCTCAGGGATACAAACTTCCGTCCCCGCTCAACAAGGGTTTTCTATGCGGGATGAGTATAACTGCTTGCCAAATCATCAAGTACCAAAGATAACTCACCCTCATAGTTTCCTTATCCTTTCTAAAGTCCAACGGATAAGATGACAACGAAGTAATCTTCCTTGCACCCTTAAACCCTTCAATATCGACGCTGACTGTTCCCCAACCAAAGCCTCCTCCCTCGACATCACCAGCCTCTACGGGTCCATCCTTTCCGTCATATTCCAGATATTTACCTTCGAGGGCCCACCATTTTCCTCTCATAAAGCTGGACTCCTTCTGTGCGTATTCTAGTTTGAAAGCTCTTGGCTCGTTGCTTCCTGCACAAGTCGTATACATGATGACTCCAGGTTTCAACAGGGCCCAGAGTAAATCAAATGTAATCATGGAGTTCTCCAACAGAGGGAAGAGAGCTGCTTTCGTAGGGGCAAAGTCTGTGTTTAGGTATTCGATGAGAAGTTTGACTTGGTCAATTTGTGAGGAAACCTCTGCAGCTGTTAACGGAGGAGGAACAGGTTTGCCTGTTATGGGTCCGGTCGGCTTGGGGGGTTCTTTATCTGGTAAACCTTTGAGTTTTGACTTCCTATCGACCCATGCTTCAAACTCGGGGAGAAAGTTGAATAGCATATTTGGGTCAACCGAGGGAATATCTTCGACCAAAGAAACGCCTCTAACATCCCCAATTATTCCAGCCAGAGCCTCTTTGAGAAGGGGGGACTTGATGTCAACCTGGGTCTCGAGGTATTTGTTTTCGTAATCAAAGACACGGCGGACCGTAAAGATAAATGAGGAGTATTTATCTGTTTTGGGGTGAGGGACCGTGTCGCAGATCTTATAATCGTGAAGTTCCTTGTCGTAAACTACAGCGGCAGTCAGTAAACAGAAAAAAAAAGCTTGCTGGATTTCTTCCCCATTGCGAAAAAACTTGCTCAATCGTTTGGGGACTCACGCTCATCAACACGCTTATATTCCAGAACACTGGCTCTATCCTCGGTCTTCTCCTCTCCATCCTTCTTTTCACCTTCATCTGCCGCACCGTTCTCGGCTTCTTTTTCCTTTTTGGCCTTCTTCTTTTCTTTCTTGGCCTTCTTAGCTTTGGCCTTCTTTCTTTTCTCCTTCTGCCGTCTCTGCTTTGACTTGGATGATTTTGCTAATATCAACCTGATCGCAGCTGCCAAGGCCTCATCCCCATCAACCTCTGAATCCGAGGATGATGACGATGATGACGATGAAGAAGAGGAGGATGAGGAGCTATCAGAATCGCTAGATCCGTCGCTGTCAGAGGAGCTTTTATCATCATCACCAGAGGAGGCCCCTTCTGTCTTCTTTGACTTCTTCCCTTTCTTACTTGATTTTGCTGACTTTTTATCCTTCTTCGACTTCTTCTCTTTCCCCTCTTTTTCTTTCTTCTCCTGTTCTTTCTTCTCCTTCTCCTCTTTTTCCTTTCGCTCCCGCTCTTCTTTCTCGGCTTTCTCTTTCTCCTCCATCTCTTTCTTTGCCTTTTCCTTCTCCTTCTCCTTCTCCTCTGCCTCCTTCTTCTTCTTGTGAATGCACTTTCCCTTAGCCTTTGGCTTACTGGCAGATTCGGTTTCTATAGCTGCAGTGGGCGGGGCGCTCGCGGATGAAGTAGCAATCGGATCCGCAGGAGTATTTGACCCCGCTTCCGTTGTTGGGGGCGTCATGGTAGACGGTGTACTGGCGGTGTTGGGGGTTTCGGAGGGCGTTTCTTTGGGAAACAGCTCTTCGGAAAGGGTAGATGTTGACGACGCCATGGTTACGCCTTTCTTTTTCTTTCAATGCTGAAATGGTTTCTAGCGAATGGAGTAAAGACAAGTTGCGCTGATAACAGTAGTTGGGTGGGGGATATGTAATAGATGGGGTAGCAATCTCACTGAAGCTTCGGGAGCAGCTCAGTGGTGATACAAGACAGCTCTGCGTGATCTTTCACTGTCTCGGGAGATGATGGAATTTGAGGAGTAAAGGGCTGTTGCGCGAGGAGAGGAGGGTATTTAAGGATTCGCCTACAGAAAAGAGTCAGAGGCAGTGCAGCGGTAGATGTGACCAACAACTATGTTCTGTTTTGCTCGGTTGCTTGCCTTAAGGCTTCCCCGGTTTATTACAACCCTTGCGACCCTTGCGTGTTCGTTGTCTTGCTACAAACCTCTCGGCGCAGCAGCCAACTAACTATGCAACGACATGGTACTCTGCTGCAGTAAGTAGAATTTATTTATTGCAACCTCGCCTCACAGTGCCTCACTGTCACGCTTTTCAGTGGGATGGACAAGGGCTATTGGCGGTCAATCACATATGACTTCTGCTTCGTCAGTTCCATAAGCAAAGATCGGCATCCATGCGTCACACAATGCATGCACTACGCTCGGTTTTCGGGCTGAGATGAATCTCAAGGCTAACACCATCAACCATCATCTCGCTCATCAGACAGGGCTGAAAAAAGGAAGTGACTCAAGATGATTAAAATCTTTCAGCCTCATCATAAAGTCCTGAGTCATTGCGGGTAATCGAGAATCATCTCAAGCTTGCTCTGTCTGAGGTCCCGCATGTAGCACGGAGCTAGCATTCTATTATACCAGCTTAGAGATGACCTACTATGATGCTCATTGCAAGTATCCCACAGGAAAAACAACTGCAGTCTGCAGTCTTGTGGGTCAATGGGCATCGGCGGAATATTCCTTATAATTGCATATGGATTTAATACTGGAATTTTCCTGGCGAGCTAAATTCAACCTGATCCTGCCAGCTTCTTCCAGCATAGGTGATATTGAGATCCTCCTCATGTCTTCAACCACTCATCCTCGCTCCTGCGGCTGATACACTCATCTCCCTCTTTGTTATATGCCATTAATGGGTACAACATGCACTTAAGCGAGTCATATATGCGCTTAACCGCATAATCAAACGAAAGGTACGTAGCTTGAAGTTAAAAACAGTCTTGGAACATGGTACTATGCTGATACCTCCATGAGGATCCAGGTTTCGGTCTATCTGTCTTTTTCTACTCTAAGCTGCCTGGAGTGGGGTTTGATTGATCGATTAGGTAGCAGAGCTGATAGAGACACTTGCATATTGCTAGGTAGCATGCTGACTACATGTAGGTGCTTTAAGAAAATCCTTGAAGCTCAGGGCCCTAAAGCCATCCCTGCTTGGCTTGATATAGGTACGCGAGTTCGTTTTGAGGCTCAAAGTTGCGACATGCTAAGAAGACTTCTGGTTGGTTGAACACTGGTCTAGTAAACGCAAGACCAGATCATCGCTGCCTGGGCGTGATCGGCGAGACTAATCACGTCCGTCACCCGTGCAACCCCACCATTCTTGAGTACACCACCTTCAGAGGTTTTCCGAGGTGTGTACCTAGTGGGTTGGGACATCCCCGTATTTGCGGCGGGTTGCTTCTCTATCTATCCTGAGATCGCAATAATGTTAGGGTTAACTATGATCTTATTTGCCTGGAAGCCGACTGCTTAACCGGTAGAAGCCAGAGGTGTCTGGTCTTCGCATCTTACGAGCGACAATTCGCCATCTTGTGTGAAACCACACCTGGGAAGCTAAATTTGGACAAGGAGGCGGCGAGTGCGGGGCGACATTGAGCCAGCGTGACACACCGGTGGACTCTTAACGACAAGCCGGCGGGGGATACGACAAGTTCTGTAACGCTATTTAGTCTCTATCAACAATAATCCAAACCCGAGATACGTTATCTACTAGGGCGTTGAACGACTTTCTTCACCGGGAGCCACATGATAGCATGACCAACGGGCGCGGGTAGGTGCTTTGCTCGACAAGCCTGCTTATACGAAAAAGCGTGATATTCGACATTGAAATTTACTCGCCCAATCCTGGGCACTGTCTGTGACGCGTGACATCGATGGCCCGGGCTAGAATACTGTGCATGAGAAATTTTGGCAGTTTTGGTTGAGGCTCAACGTTCATTTGACAGAACAGGAAGCAGTGGTCCGTCAATACCGAGTCCTTGCGGTTCCCCGCAGGAAATAACCTAGGTTCCGTCAAACTATTCCTTGATTAAGTTCACAAAGACCCGAGATGACTTTTTCATCCGCTAATTTATCGGGGTCCTTATCGTGATGGTCCGAGGAGCTACGGGATAAATGTAGGGACTGGTCATACAAAACGTACGCAAGAAGAGAGAGTTGTCAGAAGTGTAAACTATTTCTACATATTGTTATGAGGGGTTTTTGTCGGATTCGGACTTGGGATATGGAGCATTCGGGAACGTGGAGGCGTTGTTTTGCGAGAAAGATATTAAAGGCGAGAAAAAGATTTCAGGCAGAAACTGTTAAGCACTAGCGGTTATCAGAAAAGCGAATCTATTTATCAAGATAGGGAAAATCTAATCACTAGTAAAAAGAAAAAGAAAAAGGAAAAGAAAGACATATGAAACACGCATTCCGACAGGAAGTCAGTCCCTACTAAGAAAAAGCAACCCCACAAAAGAAACAAGACGCTACAAATGAAAAGAAAAAAAGAAACGCGATGCCGAGTGATCCTCCATGAATAAGGAAACAAGCCAATCCCAAACGCCCGCTGTAAACGTCCCAGAGATCAGACAAAACACCACAAGTAATTCCATCCCTCAAGCCATTCCGCCATTAACCCTCATATTCTGCCCATTAACCCACGCCGACTCATGCCCTGCCAGAAAGCTCACGACATTCGCCACCTCCTCCGGCGTACCAATCCTCCCCATCGGGTTCTACCCCGCAATCATATCCACCACCGCCTGCGGCTTCCCATTATAAAACAGGTCCGTCCCCGTCGGCCCGGGCGAGACACAGTTTACACAGATGCCCCTCCTCCCCAGATCCTTCGCCAGCACCCTCGTCATCTGCTCCACCGCCCCCTTCGTCGCAATATACAACAAGTAGTTTGGCGTCACCGTCGTCGCGGCCGTCAGCGACGTGCTGAAAAACACCACCCTCCCACCAGACGGTATATGCGGTGCGGCCGCCTGCGTGATGAAATACGGGCCCTTCACGTTGACGGCGAAGGTGCCGTCGAACTCGTCCTCTGTTGTTGCGGCCAGGTCGCGATTAGGTAGCACGCCAGCGTTGAGCACGAGGATGTCGATGCGGCCGTAGCGGGAGACGGTCTCGTCGACGAGGCGCTTGCACTCGGTGACGCTGCTGACGTCGGCTTTGATGTGGTGGGAGCGGAAGGGGCCGAGCTGGGCGACGAGGGCGGCGGCGGGCGTGGGGTCGCGCGAGTAGTTGATTATTACGGTTGCGCCTTGGGAATGGAGCTTTGTGGCGATGGAGGCGCCGATTCCTTTGGAGGCGCCGGTGATGAGGGCTATCTTGCCGGTGAGGGGGAGGGAGAGGTTGGGTGACGCCTTTTCATGAGGGGCGGTGGCGGTGGCGGTGGAGGAGGAGGAGGAGGGGTGGGGTGGGATTTCGGGAGTGGGGGTGGGGTGGGGGTGGGGGTGGTGGATTTGGGGCAGGGCTTGGATTTGAAGAATTTTCCGAGGCCGCACATCTTGATTGCTTTGGATTGTTTGGTTTGTAGTAGGATGTCTTTGTGTGTAGATAGATGTTGGTTGTAGATGTGTTGATTGTGTCCAGTGCTGAGTTGCCAATGTTCTGATATCCTGAGTTGATTTGATGTCCTGAATATGAAAACACCTGGACAGAGCTGGACTTCTGTTCTTATATATCCTCCTCCTTCAAGACCCCTCCTCTCAGGACCTCCGTCATCACCTCCAGCTGTGCCAGCATAGACGACATCATTGCAAGTAGGTATCCAGGATAACGTTTGTTGTTTCTCGACGTTGGAGTTTACCAGCACCGGCCGTACTCTACGCACGAGTGCTCTCTCGTCGTTTCCCTTTATCTCCGGCTCGGGTTAGCCACGGCTGATCGACCACACGCGTGCGTCTGCATGCAGAAGCCAGCTATGTCGCTGATTGGTGGAGAGGACAGACCGTTACTCGGATTCCACCACTGGGATGATGGCAACACGCCGGCCGGGAGCAAGGAGTTAAGAAGTCACTCCCCTTCAGCACCGCCGTTGGGGATAGGGTGCTCAGTGCTATAGATCTTGATCAAGTGGATAAGCTGCTACTCTAGATAGCAGAAGTACTGGGCGACAAGTGCTCGATACGCGACAAATATTTGCAGCTCAAAACAGATAAGCGTTTATGTAGCACTTGACGGTTGCCAAGGCGTGTGTCGCATCCGGTTAACTCCAGAATAGTAATCATTTTCTACTCACGGGCGCGCGGGTCTTTGTCGGCCGCAATACTGCAACACCGCAACACCGAAGATATACACCTGAAGGTGCCAGTGGAGATAGGCCGGCCGTTTTTGGTGTGCTCGGCCGGGGATGCGGATTATCTTCGGGCGCGTTTAAGGTGTGGTCTTTGTGTTTGTCTTTTGTCAGGGAGTGAAGTTGTTACGGGGATAGGGATTTTGTGGGAAATCGAGTGAGCATCCGTGACTATGAATTTAACACATCTATGCACAACTAGAAGCGGATATATTCTCGATCCCGTAGAAATGACTTCATTGTAATACTTATTTGGAGGATTATATTAGGAGTGACATCTTTTTCGATCCTCATCTCAAATGACGGCAAGGCTGAAACTGCTTGTACACATACACAGTAGTACTAAGTACAGATAAGCTTTCATCAAGACATACCACAAGACTGTATAATGAGACCTATATGTACAATTACAAGCAAAGTGTCTGCGCATACACCTCAGCCTTGTGTATCAGTCAATTCCCAGCTTCCGCTGTCCTTCAGACGGGGACCAGGATATGGGCCGTGATGTTACCCAATTTTATGAGCCAGTACGCTAATGTCAGCCAGAACTAAATCAAGGTGAATGAATGTTACATCCTATAGCTCCCAATATACAAATAGCTTATTTATCCCTTCTAAGCGCAGGTACACACACAGGCAGGCAGGCAGGCAGGCATGTATGTCCTTGGTCCCCGCCCTCTACCGGGAATACCTCCAAGGAGAAACAGACATTGCACGCCCACGTGGGAACCACTCTTCTGGGTTCAGCACACAAGCAATTTAAAGGATGATACCTACAAACCCCTTTTGCGGAAATAATCTAACACGGGGAGTACCATTCTTCTAATATTGTGGTCTTGTTGCTAGCTATAGCATGGTTCATATCGTATCGATGCGCAAATATTCCGGCATATGTTACATCTTATGAACCGAATTGCACACACTATGAACATAGCCACAACGATGCTTTCCTCGTCATTGGTATCGCGGCCATGAACTTTAGTGGCCATTGACTGAGGTGCTTATCAAGTCTCCTATTGTATGGTCCGGTTCATCACCGCTATTAATCCATAGCCCAAGGAATAGTAGAGTTGAGTAGAGCGCAATGTTGCATCAGGTTGGTAAGATTCCTTTTTCCAGCCACTGATCGGAGGATTCCGATTACACCCCAGTAACCTACATAAGTGTGGGGGGTAGGTTATCTACATGTATCTCTCCTTCTCTCAAGAGCACTGCCCATAAAGTAGATACAAGAGCTGAGAATTCGCCTAAAAGTGCCGCATTGAAGAGTTCGGCGGGTTTGCGCAGTTATATTGTCTGTTTTCAGAACTATGGGTAGGCGGGTAAACTTGTTCGGGGGTCGTTTATGACTTTCGGGTGCTACAAGAAGATGTGTCTGTAGGTCGTGGGAGGTGGTCTGGCGAAAGATGCCACTACGTTTGTTAGTCCTTAATTGCATGTGTCTCTTGACATATGTTGAACCCTCATCCTTCACGGGCTTCAGTCAATGTCTCTAATTCACTGCGCACCTGATGGGATCGAAACGAGCTCAGGAAGAAAACATCGAGATGTCGAATTGTCTACCAAAATCTTTAAAGCTTGGATCACATCTCGCGACTTGAGAGACATCGCATTCCTAACCGATGTCTCAGCCAACCTGCCCGCAGGTTGTGGCACACGTCAGGGAACCACGTCCACAACCTCAACCTGGTACCTGACGATAAGCTTAGGTACAGAGACAGATACAGATACGCAACATTAATATTCCCCGCGTGTTCCTTAAAGTATTTGCGCCATTCGTACCTGAGCTATAAATTAACCGAAACTGAAACATTGTTGACAGCTTAGTAAACAGCTTTTAACAATCGCTAGAACGTTTCCAACAGACTTTGGTTTAGTCTCTGCACTGCGCGGCGATTGTGGACTTGCTTGTGGGACAACAAAGAACCACAATCCCTCAAAACTATCATACTGCCCCCTAATATGAACACTGTGCCTTACATCTGCTTCTCTAGATGCCTCTTGGTACGAAAAGATCGGGCCGGGTTCGTTACACCGGCTGCCTGCCTTTCTGGGTTTTGGGAGTTTTTATCCATGCTCAACTTGGTTCCTGGATACCGATATAGAAATCGTCGCACACCAAGGTGCTGAACATGCAGCTTTTATTTTATTAAAAGTTCAGCCAGATGGTGGAACCAGTGCACGAGAGCAAAAAGAGTTGCCGCCACAGTCTTCATAATAAGATCTCCTGATATTCTCGCTGCCCTTCACGTCGCGTCGGGATGGCCGATTATCATGGAGCTTCGTGAGGTGAGGTGCATATATTGCATTTTGGCTGCTGCAGCAGCAGGACATCAATCTTAGCAGGTACGGTACCTACATAGGAAGATTCCTTTATCATCGCTTGTGGATCCTAACTATAGGCTGCTCAATTCAAATTACCCACCCACAGTCTTACCCACATCTGGATAACTTTATCTAAACAGCCGACCCAGCGACAGGGGTGCTACGGTTGTGAAGATTGGGTTCTTTGAGATCCAGAGCTTCTTACTTGGGCAATGCTATAGAATAGATGTAACTATGTAGCCTTAGTCAAATTTGAGCAGTCCGCGGCCGTGGCGAGCAGTAGGTACTCTACTAAGTTCCACCGACCTGGGTTTGATTTTTGCTGGGCGAGCGTGGAGTATATGATGTGACCCCACCCTCCTCCTCTTCTTTCTGCTTGAAGGTACCCTTAATCTATCGTCTGCAAAGATCCTCTCTGCTTAATCCAAGTGCCATTGGTCGAGTGGGAGAAGCACCTGCATTCTACATACCTGTTGTGCGGGTTTCTCAAAGCTCCACGCAGTGCTACGCTACCGCAATGAATTTACCTTTCCACACGGGTTCCATCATGCTGGTCCCACTCCTAATACTCTCGCTGCTGTGCGCGAACGTCGTCGATGCGCTGCATTCGACAGACACAATCACTAGTGGTGGTGATAATACTAGGTCTGGGTATCAACCGTAAGTCTTTCTCATTATCATTCTCCAGGTATGGGAACGGGGGTTAATAATGGCATATATGATATTATAGCAACCATAATATGGACCCTGCCGTCGTAGGATCTTCCCAATTCGGTATTATATGGCGCAAGAAGCTGAGTGGCCGCTACAACGACTGGAATGGTATGTATTTCTGCTTGTATTAGTTGATGGCACTAGCTAGTAGTGTCCCTGCTAACTGATTGCATCTAGAACAGATATTTGCGCAGGCACTTATATACACACCCGACGATGCCCAATTCGTCTATGTCGCGTCGCAGCAGAATTGGGTCTACAAGATCGATGCGAAGACGGGTGACATCCTGGTGTCGAAGAACTTGCATATCCCATTCTTGGTCGCGGAACTGGATAATTGTAATGATATCAGTCAGACTATTGGAAGTACTGTAAGTTTGCCTTTTTTGGAGATAGATTTGGAGCCGTGGGCGTGCGGGACTGATGTGTTGAGGGTAGGCTACGGGGGTGATTGATCCAGATACAAACACATGGTATTTCACGATGAAGACATATCGCGACCAGACTGGTGTTGAGAAAGGGAGGGCGAACGGAAGATGTAAGCACCTTAATTAATCTTGTGAATTTTCGGGAGTAGAGCTGACTGGGGCGGTAGATTATGTTCACGCCCTCGACACTAGAACTCTAGAGGAGAAACCAAACTTCCCCATTGATCTAGAAGGATTGATCGCAAGTAACAATGCGATCAGAATGTTCCAGGGAGGTATCCATCACCAACGGCCAGCGCTCATGCAGAGTGGACCGTACATTTATGCCGGGTTTGCGTCGCATTGGTACGTTGAGTGGTCTTTCGTAGAAAGTAGCGCAGAGGTGCTGATATTTTGTGTTCTAGTGTGCAATACAACTTCACTGGTTGGATCATTGGCTGGCATGGGACTACCGGCCAGATTGTCGAGAAGTTTGCAACTGAGGGCGGGCCGGAGGACAAGAAGGGAGGTGGTGTATGGATGAGCGGTGGTGGTATAGCACAGGATTCACGTATGCTCTCCAAGTTCATAGTGATTCTATTCTATGGCAAAGTGCTACTAGTGCTAACGTCGTTGGGAAGCCAATCGCATGTTCTTCGCTACCGGAAATGGGTATGCATCCCAGCTCAGCAATATCCCGGTACCGGGAAGACAGCCTCCTACAGCGCTGGAAGAGGCGGTCGTCCATATGTCGATTGCCGCTGATGGAAGTTTAGGCGTGGTTGATTTCTGTGAGTTGCGACCCGTGAACCTGCGTCTTACTTCTTTGCTGACTACCTTGTGCCAGTCATGCCATGGGAAAAACAAGCATTGGATGGCGCGGATAAAGATCTTGGGACCTCAGGTATCGCGCTTCTGGACCAGAATGTTTTTAAGACACCGACCGTAGCTAGGATTGGGTGCATTACTGGGAAGTCTGGAAAACTCTACTTCCTAAATCTTGAGTGAGTACTCTGGATCATGATTGATCACTCGGGCCTAATTAGAAAATAGCGATCTTGGCGGCTACCAGATGGGACCAAATAAGAAGGATGCTGTTCTTCAGACCACAGAACTGCTGAATTCAGTCTTTGCAACTGCTGGATCCTACCCGCTTGAGGGTGGTTACGTTTATGTTTGTTCCCTTTTTACAGTTGCGTTTGATATGTGCTAACCCGCTGTCAGGTGAATGTCGTTCAACACGAGACCGTCGTGTTTAAGTTCAGTGTTGGGTCAAACAACGAACCTATTTTTACACAAGTCGCCCAAACGCTTGAGAAGACTGCTTATGTACTCGGTGTCGGTCACGGCACAACTACATCTCTCAACGGCCAAGCTGGAACCGGTCTTTACTGGGTGACAGATATCCAGGGTCTGAATCTCCGAATCTACAAAGCTGTTCCGGAGAATGGCATACTTGTTCTCCTCAAAGGTCTCAATATTCCGGGAATGATCAAGTTCAGTCGACCGAGTTTCGGAGATGGAAGAGCCTACCTTACAACGAGTGATGGCTATCTCGTTGCCGTTGGCTCCCCCGTGAACCCGCCCCTCTTGTGTCAGTCCCCGGTCGAGTTTGGAAACGCTACTATTGGCGATGCGGGTGTTACGAAAGATCTTAGCTGCACGGCCAATATTGCAGTCACAATAACTGCGATCGGTCCGAGAATGGCACAGTATTTCTCAGTGTCTGAGTTGCCGACGTTCCCGTTAACGTTGGCTGCAGGCAAAACATTTACGTTTAAGACAACATTCAAACCGACTGCACCCGGTCCTCTATCCGATGATATCTATGTTAACACCACGAACTCCATTGCCAACTATGCAGAAAACACCCCGATTGCAGTTAGGGGTGTTGCAAAATCGTTGAGCCCAGTCCTATCGATCACTCCCAACACAGTTTCCTTCGCGGGTGTGATTACGGGAGAGAATCCTGATGGATATGTTCGCTCCGTTGTGATTGAGAATGTCGGAAGCTCGGTGATGACCATTACTAGTTATGATATCAGTATCGTTAGTGAATCTGGCCCTTTCCTCCCAGGTAACACAACGCAGGCGGGTCCGTTCAAGTTTACGGGCCTGCCGACATCAATCCCGGCCGAATCATCTGTTACTGTGTCCATCAATTTCAACCCGACTGGGAACGGAAACTACGGAGCGTATGTCCGCGTGAACTCAGACGGTGGAAATAAGTTCCTTACAGTTGTAGCCACTTCTGGTGGATATCCAAAAGCGAAGCTAGAATTTGAAAAGGTCGATGGAACTGGCTGGGTGGAATACGACCCGAACGTCCCATTCAGCTTTGGAACTGTCTACGAGCAGGTAACCCGCACCCTCAAACTCCGACTGACAAACGCCGGTGATCAAGACGCTGGAATTCTCGACGTCACTGTTTCCAAGCCCCCAACCGGTGTCGGAGCAGTGGTCGGCGCCCGCAATGGTATCGACCTCGGTGAAGGGACGCAGCTCCTCGCCGGGCAATCTCAGACCGCACAGTTGTTCTGTTCAGTGCCCAAGTCGCAGGTCAATGTAAATGCGTACACACCTAATGCTACATGGACTATGAACACAAATGACCCGACGTTCGAGAAGCAGAATATTGTGTTTACCTGTGATGCGGTATCAGAGCAGTTAGGTCCCCTGAAGAATGCGACGCATGGCAGGTATCGCTACATTGGGTGCTTTAAAGAGAACAATCCTGGGAGACAGCTGTCGTCGCAGTTGTATGGCAGTGATTTGAATGAGAACGGGATGTGTATGAATGCTTGTGCTGGGGCGACTCAGAATTATATCTTCGCTGGTATGTGTAATGGCCGAAATTTAGGAATATTGTAAAGTTGTGCTGACGGATGGATAGGGACTCAGTACCACCGTGAGTGCTGGTGCGGTAACACGATTCCCACTTTGAAGGTTGGAGACGAGGACTGTAACTTTGACTGTACTGGGTAAGATCCTTAAACTACATGAGTCTGTGTAGAAATCGATAATTAATTCCAATTCAGGAATGGTACACAAATCTGCGGTGGTAATGGCTACTTCGGCGGCGGGTCATACATTAGTCTCTTTGCGGACGAGAACCGCTACACCCCCGGCGAAGGGCCAATTTCTTCTTCCACTACCACCGATCTTACCGGCACTCCAACGCCAACTCCATCTGCCCCAATTGACAACCCAGGAAATGGTAGCTTCACATTCGCAGGTTGCTACACCGAGGCAACAACCGGCAGAGCACTATCTGTTCTTCAAGGCTCAGACACAATGGACGTAAACACATGCCTAGGACTATGCGCGGGATACGCCTATGCGGGTCTGGAGTACGGAAGGGAATGTTGGTGTGGAAACACCCTCGGAGTAGGGTCAGCACTTACTGTCGTGACACAATGTAGAATGACCTGTGCTGGAAACCCATACGAGTATTGTGGTTCAGGCAGTAGGTTAAGTTTATACACTAAAGCAGCTGTGGTGAGCTCTTCAAGTTCAACGACCGTAGATTCCTCAACTACCATCGATCCTTCCTCGACACCTGTCACAGTTTCATCTACCCCCACTCCTACTGTTCCTGTCCATAATCCTGGAAATGTAAACTACGGTTTCCAGGGCTGCTATACGGAGGCTACAGCTGGGCGTGCGCTACCTCAGCTTACAGGCGCCGATGACATGGATATTGCAAAATGCTTGACCATTTGCGGTGCGTATGAGTACGCCGGTGTCGAGTATGGGAGAGAATGCTGGTGCGGTAATACATTGGGTGTCGGGGCGGTCCTTACTGAGCTGTCACAGTGCAGCATGTTGTGCGCGGGAAACAAGTATGAGTATTGTGGAGCGGGGTCGAGGTTGAGTTTGTACAAGAAGAAGCCGGCAGAGGTGTCGTCAACTTTGAGTACTACTACACCTATGGTGAGTGATACAGCTACAGTAAGTGCTACGGCATCAGGTAACGCTACGATGTCTGCACCGGGGAGCGATACTGCGACAACACCCTTGCCATCAGACAGTAATACTATCCTGGCGGGAAATTCCACCACAACGGCTGTAACTGCCACTACCCCCGCATCGGACAATACTAGCCCAGCGGACGTTTCTAGTACACTGGCTTCGTCTACTGTGCCTGTGGTAGAGTCTACCAGTACTACCACACCCGTTTCTAGCAGTAGTGATACGCCAATAGTTACTGCTGCCACCACACCAGGGGTATCTGCTACTTCTACGCCGACTTCAAGTGTTGAATCTAATAATACTACAACACCTGCAACGAGAAGTGACGCATCTCCTATAATTTCACTTTTTATAAGTGATGTGACTACCACATCTACTACTAGTACGGTGTCACCTTCTACCACTCCCAGTCTCTGGGAATACCTAGGTTGCGCCAACGAAACTACCCCACGTGCTCTGAATGGAGCAAGTATCTCTGGCACCATGACCCACGAGAAGTGTCAACAGTTTTGCTTGGAGCGTAATTTTCCACTGGCAGGTCTTGAATATGTAAGAGTCCTTGTAAGCCATGATAAGGTGAAGGAGAGCCGCTGACAAATATTATAGGGAAACGAGTGTTACTGCGGTTCTGCCCTCCAGAACGGCTCAAAACTCAATCAGACAAATTGTGCCATGGCCTGTAGCGGGGACGCCTCCCTGATCTGTGGAGGGCCCTCTCGGCTGAGTGTTTACAATTACACTCTCTTTGTACCGCCTATCATAGTTCCAGCCGTTGGAACGTAAGTTCGCTACTTTCATGTGTTTTACTGCAGCTGCATGGACGTTTACTAATTTTTGTTGCAGATTTATCTCGCAGGGATGCTATTCGGAGGCAACTACCGGAAGAGCGCTTTCTGGGTATTCATTTACAAATACTACCGGCATGACTGTAGAACTCTGTGTCGGTGTGTGCAAGGATAGATCGTTTAAATATGCGGGTTTGGAATATAGCCAAGAGGTAAAATCGAATTCCATTATTGTTCATCTAGTTTTGTCACTAACTGTGAGAAGTGCTACTGCGGAAACACGCTGGCCTCCACCTCAACCAAGATTGATGATAGTCAGTGCAATTCTCTATGCAAAGGCAATAAGCGTGAATACTGTGGTGCTGGAAGGTATTTAGCTCGAATAATCTCTGATAATACTTACGTATGACTAATTGCGTTGATAGTAAATTGAATGTTTATTTCGACCAACCGTCGAATATTACCGCTAACGGGCTTCCGGCTTCTTCACCTTCGGAGAAGAGGAGGTAGGTAGCGTGGCATTGAAAGATGGTGCATTTATGGGGAATTTATATCATTTCTCTTTATAAGATACTTAATGTTTTATGTAGTTAACTGCTTGGATGAGGATAAGGATTAGGTGGACACGAGGAATAGATAAGACTTATAGAAAAGAATGTGACACTTAACTAAAATTCTAATTCAAGCTTCGTCATCATCATCTTCCTCACCCAACACCGCATCTCCAATCCATTCCGAACTCCACTTGACCACCTCGCCTACAATAGGTTCATGTGGTACATACACCAACCTCTTAACCCCAAACCAGCCTTTCTTACCGCTGGCCAGGTAAACCCCACAAACACCTCTGCAGGTCTCCACACTTTTATCCTTTTCCAAGACCTCCAAGATTTCATGGTTCCTCGGCCCCACATAACCCGCGCCCACACCACCACCCAAGTACCCCATCATGAGTCTCTTATGCAGACGATTAGTGTCCATCTGCTGCCTCCCCATCATTGCATGGGTAGCGGTGATGGGTGACCAATCGGCATCATACATGGCACCGTGGTACAGAGTATGCAGGTACTCTTCATGATAATAATAGTCCTCACATGCATGTGCAAGATGACCGGCAAAGCGGTGGGCGCTGGGGATGTCGGCAAAGAAGAGGGTCGCAACGCCAACCTGGGTAGTGATCGATTGGTGGGACCTTCCATAGGTATACATGGAGAGTGGTAGGGTCCTAATAATGAGCTCAAGGAGCTGCTCCACCACTAATAAATACGATACAAACGTTAGCTAACCCCGCCACAACCAACAGTGATACTAGGAGAGTACACCACCTTTCTCGGGTTTAGTCTCAGCGAAATCATAGTCAACTAAAACGGCCTTGAGGTCCTTCCTGTCCTCTTCGGTGGGTGTGTATGTACGCCCCCTGCACCCCGGGCAGCAGTAGTGCACCATGGGCGTGGAGGGTTGACAGAGACAGTCGTGCTCGTATTGGTTCATTTGGATGGCGTCTGTGAAGGCCGAGTCGAAGAGGAAGTTGTAGTCGGCGCTGAGGTCGTAGGTGTGCGTTGCGGTGGCATTGACTTTTTTGGATTCCGGCAGGACCGGGGCGTTCATTTCTTTGCACATCTTGATGGCTTGGTGGGGTGGTGGGCGGGGGAAATGATGGGTATTGTGGTTGTTTGAGGGTGGTGAAGTTGTAGGTGTTTTGGATGTTTGGGGAGTGTGTGTTTGGGAGCTGCTAAGAATTGGGTTGCTAGCAGTTGGGGAGTTAGCTGTATGGGGACAATTAGTAGAGCCCCCTTTGTAAGGCCTTGGCAGGTACATGCGTTAGTCCTCTTTTCGGGCGTTACATACATGCATGACCTCTAGCTGACATTTTTTGATGCAACCATTTTATGCAACTTTGGTCAGGTATGTATGTACAGCTCTAGGACTTCTCAATCATCGAATCCAGCCACACAAGAAGCAACGGGTATTACAAGAGGTTATATTACTGATCGGATGGTAGTTTTGGATTACAAAGAGAATGGTCACAGAGCTACCATAGCGCTAGTATGCAGGGCACGCCATGACTTGCTTAAGAGGAGGCCCTGGGGATGGAGCCAAACTTATGATTGGCTAATTGAGCACGGTTACATGTAGTGATTGTCTATACGAGCGTCGATCCCGGGGTAATGATCGAATTTATAAAAACCTTAATACAATATGCAGGAATTCTAGGATGGTCTCATCTCGGGTTATACGACTCCGCTTTGTACTCCTATGATATTGACGATGGATGACATGGCTTGTCTAAAACATAGTCTGAAATTCAAACCTGCGGTGTCGCTATCAATAAGCCAAAATCTTAATAGATTGCCGGCGGCTTTGCGTTGAAGTCTACAACGGGTACTTACTTAAGCCCTGAGAACCTTGTTTAAGTAGGTGCATCGCTGGCTCTTCTTTTCTTGGGGGAAACAGTCCATAATATAAATATCCAAACCGCCCTTAAAGTCTGACATTTTACCTAGGCTTACGATACGGGTAATATATGGCTCTTAACCATGGGCTAAAGATTCCACCGGTCGACCAGGGCCCATTGATTCTTTGTAATATTCAATGCTCTCTATATGAGGTTTTCAAACATTGGTAGGAGCGTATTTATGACACTGTTTTAGGTCATCTCCAAGAAAAACCATCCTTTCTCCCGACGGTAGAGTTGAAGAGATATATACTCGTGAAATTTCGCCGTTTTGTCTGAGTATTCGGCCTGGATTCACACAATATTGACACCTGAAAGCTTGTCGAATATTTCATGGCATGTGAAATATGTTTTTTGCATTAGAATTACTGTAGCATTAAGTGGCACAATCGAAGATCATTAACACAAACAGTTGCGTCGTTTAAATACATGTAGCTCTGTTATCACTATATGGACTGGTACCTACGGGAATAAGCAAGCTGTAGAGTTCAGTGGTGTTGATCGAAACAGAATGGGAAGGTACATTTCTGGGTAAATAAACTGGGGGGTATCTACCCCAGGTTTACTAGGCCGGGTATATAGTATAGCTGCATCTGTAACCTAATTAACAATGTAGCAGCAAGGAATGTGAGGACGGCATACTGGCTCGAGAAGCCGGCGGATCTCCTAGCTGGTACTAATCTTCGATCAAAGGCGATTATTGCATGTGTTTGTGCAGCCAAAGACACTCTACATACATACAAGTATGTACGTCCTATATGAAGTCGACTATAGTACTTACAGCTTATGTACACTGCATCAAACACCCGCCGGTATCTCGGCGGTATGATACTATCACAGGGGTGTGTCCGTGGCATCGTCGGGTCTTTACACATGAGAACTTCTTCTTCTAATACAATTCTGATGCTGGTTGGACGTTTATCTCGCTTAAATAGCTGAGGTACGAAAGCACATTGTCCCGTTTTACGCATTTGTATCCCCGAGAAGATGTATCAGCAATATGGCACAAGCCGTACCCATGTCATTGTGTACTATCAAAATGCTGTTTCGTGTGCCCTTTAAAAGTCTATATAAACTTGATCAATTCGCCAGTTATTGGGTTTTCCATCAGCAAGCAGAATAAAATTTGCCCATTTCCTCCATACGTATATCACAGCTCTCAAGAACACTTCAAAATGCTTTTTTCCAAGCTCTCAGTCATTGCTGTATACGCAGCTACATTCGCCTTTGCCCAGACCTCGACGTTCGAAGAGGACTTCAATGCTATAAGTTCGGATCTTAGTGCTCTTAAAACCACCATCGATGCTTTTACGGGTACCCCAGCAGAGGCCTTAGCGGTTAGCTCTGCAGCTTCTACTTTGCAAACCGGCTATGAGACAGCTCTCGCCGATACAAATGCCGCCACAGACCTTGAGAGTCAGAGTGTGACCGTCGCAGCAGCAGTTCAATCGCTGGTTACGCCTCACGCGGACGGTCTAGCCGCTTTAATTGCAAAGGTAGACTCTTCATTATTTTTTAAATAAAACATAAAGAAATGCTAATTGGGATTAGGAGTCACTTTTCGAGGCTGGCGGGTACAAGTCGTTGGTTCTTGCCCAAGTGCAGGAGCTTTCAAATGCTAGCTCACAGCTGTTAGCTGCGCTTGATGCTAAGATATCAGCCGATATTAGCAGCTCAGCGTCGGCCATTGCGGGTTCTTACGCTGCTGCCATTGCCGCTTTCTCTTAGAGAGAATGGATTCGATGTAAATGTTGCCATATCAGTAAGGGTTTTGTCTATGCGGTAGAGTGTGTGTGTGTGTGGGGCTGAGGCTAGTTCTGGGGAAGGTTCTTTGAGTGTAAATACTTTCAGGTCGATGCTTTACGAATATATGCGCACTGACAGCATGTGACCGAGTGATAACATGTGGACCAACTCTTGGCGTTTTTAGTATTCGTACTACAAACTTAAAAAGTGAACAAAGAAAAATAGAATTGTAATAGCATGTACTCGAAATCTCTCAATACGATTTGATGTGTCATCTACTTTAATATATCCCTTCTATCGTTGTCCCTACTGGGCTACGTGCATACATGTAGCTATGTGATTCTGGGTGTATTGCATGTAGTGACGGAGAAACCACAGTTCTCAAACTCTGCCAATATCAAGACAGTAACTTACTTTTTTGGTTCTAAAGTCTCTTACTTGAAGCGATGAGACTGTCAAAGTCGTAACCTATATTAAAGCTGCAGCTGGAACTACCTAATTATGGGAATTATGGTTGTTTCTCAGAGTCTTGTAATTGGCATTGTTCGTCAATCAAGAAACGGAGGGGAGGGATGAGGAAGGTCAGACTGCAGTTTCAAGACTTTATTCGCGCAATAGATAATCCCTTAGGTAGAGTTATAGGTTGGGGTTCAAGGATCTAGAAATCAGGTATTCGTAAAAGAAATATAGCAGCGCATCGAAGATCTTTGGTTCTGCAATAATTCTACCACTATCTATGCTCAGTAGAGCATACGGCGGCAAAATTGAGGCTTTTCTGATCCACTCCATAAAACCTTGGCGGGTTTAGGTGAAGGTTTATGAAAATCGATACCCTTAACGCACAATTCACCGTCCTCGTGGCAAAGTTTTAGGAGATTTTCATTTGTTATAGATTTGCTTATACTCTAGTTGAATATTTTCTGATCTGCGGTGATGTGATTGTCAGCATAATTTCCGGGCTCTGGCGCGAATATCAGAGTTCGACATCCTGTCACGGGTATCTAAGGTTGAAGCCGGACTACAAACATCAAGATTTATGACACTGTGCGCAATATATTTGTTTCTGTAGGGTCTCTTAGGGTGTTGCTGCATGCCAAACCAACTAAAGTATCAGAGGTTGAAACCAGGTCACAGTTTGCCTCATGATATGAGTATGTACATACATATATGAATTAGGGCTCGTTTGGAGGAAGTTAAAGTGCTGGGTGTCGTTGCCTTGTATAACTCCATGTCAAAAATCCTGGGACAAGCCCCCTAGCAACTCGCGGTTGCGTTGTCCCATGATATTTGAACGAGAACTATACTACAGCAGACCCAAAACGGGATTGGGTCACCTCACATGTAATCACTCCGGAGCAGTTTCGGGCCTCGGTCAGTACAAGTACCCCAAAAAGTTAAGAGCTATGTACTTCGGTATCAGGGGTAAGTGGGTAGAACGCGGCGGTTCATATTCGCGAGCAAAACAGGAAAACTACAGCTTTAGCCACGCTGCCACGTTCTACTCACACCCTTGATATCGAAGTACAATTGGTCTATCCTCATTGAGTACGGCCTTCAAGCGAGAAACCGGTTCTCCATGATCATTGGTCTCGCCGCAACTCCACAGATCTGGGCATATCATAGATGCTATCAGGTCCACGATTCCTAAAGTTAGATCCACGGATCTAACTGTGACCGTGCACATTCTGCGTAGAGATACATTCTCATGCATCTGACTGTACTAACAAACCTGCACAGGGACATTCCGTAATTGCAACGCAAGCGAATCCTGATCATTTCTCCTAACAGGCAGAAATATTTGCAGTGCCCCACAATTACTCATGCACTTTACCACTGTCATGTCTGCAGCACTAAACTCTTCTTTCCTCTACTCGTAGTTTTTTGGCGTTTCCGGACTGAACTGGGTCTGCATACCACCAAAATATGGTTGTCAAGCACGATTTACACCCCAGTCCAGTCCGGAAACGCCAAAAAACTACGAGTATGTACCTACATACTATGACAGCTGCAGTACAACCAAGCTTCCACTCCCTTCCCCATCGACGCCATCCCTAGCAATACGAGGGGCAGAGTCTCTTTCACACATCATTACTAGTACAAGTATCACAAAGGTGTCGTTCAAGATCGGACCAATGACAGCCGAGAACCTAGTAGAGTGGCGGTACAGATATCTAACCCTGCCAGGGGCCACATTAGGTGAGGAAAAACTCTTCCCTTCGTGTACCCCACAATTTCTCCGCATAACTTTCTGTCCTGTCATAACCCCGCTTCTTGATCCATTTTATGCAGGCAAGGATACGAGGGAGTAGTTACCCGCATTGCATCACGATGTTCATCCGGCCGGTGAATGCAATGTATGGCCCTGCATATAGATTAACTCACCACCACCAGTTCACCACCATTCACATTGAGCAAGTATTTTTTGCGGCTGATCGCCGAGGGGCGGTGGAGAGGATTAGGAGAAAACTGTGATGGAGAAATCCCCCATAGTTACTCGACAGCATACAGCCCAGATAGCCTTAATTAATTCTTGGTTATTGCTTTTTGCTCTTGAATTAGTTTGACTGGTCGATATGGCAACTGCGTCCAGAGTCGAGGCTAGTACATGTAAGACTTGGTCTTGTTCTTACATAGAAATGAAATAGGGCAAGCCAGTTTTACTAGCAGGGAGTGGTGTAAGGTAGCTACATGTAAGCTTGCTCTAGAGAAAGATAGCCACAGGTCTCTAAAGTGATAGATACGTCTTTCATGATTGTCGGTGCCACATGACCTATGGATGGTTATGATAAATATTAGAATAGGCACGGAGGCTAGGGTTTCTTTCTAGACATGGGCTCGACGAATTTGCCACAATTTCCTTGAAGTAAAGTACTTGATATATATTGCTTTATGCGGTGATCTGGGAATGCTTGACCTTATCCATTTATCGCCGCCACAATAACTCTATCCAGGTTATCTGTGATGATGGTATTATGGAGGATTCATTTGCTTATAAAGTAGGCACGGATAGTTCAAGGTTCTTCGGCCATCCAAAGTACTAGTAGGACAATTGCCAGGGTTCAAGTTTTCGGTATGAGATCCTGGCGAGGATTTCGTTAGCTTCTTGATTAACTAAATTGTCCCAGATCTTTCTCATCGGACATTCCCGCACCGGGGATCAAATTGCGTTATTATGCCCTAGTGTAAAGGGTTAAATACCACCAATTCAAGCCCTTTAAAAGGGATGCGATGTAAAAGTAAAAGAGCAAAATGGTGTGTTAATGGACTAGGGTTTAATATCTAGACCAAGAACAGGTGATATGATGGTTCCAGAGGGGGTCGAACCCTCGACCTTGGCGTTAACATATTTCTATATTAGCACCACGCGCTAACCAACTGAGCCATGGAACCTGCCACTGGACTCGACTTATGTAATTTTTGAACCTTTTACCTGGGAGGTGTTATTTGCAACCGGGAAATGATCGTGTTGCGTGGATTCTAGCTTCACGAGTAGTCTCAAGAATCGAAGTCCTCCGACTCACCGCAACTACCTAGAATGGTAATGTTCTAGAGTCAGTGCGTACACTGAACACTACAACCATAGACTAGAGCTAGGAGAGGGACGTTAGTACTAGAGACAGTATTTTGTCGGATAAACTACATCCTGTCCATGCAACCAATCACTCTGACCCTGACAAAGTTCACCCCCTGCTGAAGAAAGGCCGTTATGTCAACTAAGCTCATGACGCGCACGCACATCCGATTCAGGCACCATAAAGGTTCTTCCTTTTGTCCGGACTCAGCAAGGGGGGTGATTTTTCGTTGATTGTGGGCTGTGTATGGACTCACTCCCACATTATTTTGTCTCCTGTTTCTTCCGGTGTGGCTAGTTACATGGTGAAATATTATGAAGCCACCATCGCTTCCATATATTATCTCAGTTTGTATCATCGTAATGTGGTGGGTGCCTAGATAGAGCTGACTCGTACAGTCACTCTACCACTTGCTGTGTGTTACTAGCTAAGTATGTGTATAAGAATTTCAGGGATCAATTGGTGTCGGGGGTTGGGGGCCGCCTAAATTTTAACCATCCCCACAAACAATTTGCGTTAGTTAGTAAAGTACGCAGTAATGACTGGGGCCCCGCAGTATTCTTACAGCCCTGGCAGCCCTGGACCAAACAGAAATTTCATACCTTTCGTCTCAACTTGAGCGCGCGCAAGGCGATGTGGCTCCACGTGGGCTCAGATAGGTACTCTCGTGAGTATACATACATGTATATACAGTACGGCTTTGAAGGCGAAGCGCGGGGAAGAGCAATCAATTTGTAGAAGTCTCAAGTATAAATTAGATTATATTAATCAGGGTTCGGAGATAGAAGTGAGGCGGCAGGGCCTGGGGAGGGGGAGGAAGAAAAAAAAACTGCTACGCCGTGTCGATCCTTGAATTTTTCCTTTGCGCGGTAAGATAAATGTTCCGGTTGCCGGAAAGAAGTTGTTATTCTTTGAGTAATATTGAGAATAAATAGTGGGAGGTCATAGCTTGTATTTATCTAGGTGTGCACAATTCCGTGTGCGATGTAGTTGCGGTGCAGTTATGTAGTTAGTCTCGACATCGCTAGAAAAAACTAATTTCCAGCCAGTTAAACAAAATTCCGAATCATTCTAACAAAGCCAAATTAGCTTCCGGTGTTGAAATACTAGATTAAAAACCAGGAAACGTTTCTTCTAGATTTTTATCCTGACTTCTGATGACGAGTGTATTTCCAGGAACATAAATTCCTTCCGAGTACCGAATTTAAGGGTTGAGGGCAGCTTCGTTGCTGGCTACATAGTTTGTTGCCCCTGGATCATCAGGGGTTTCGATTCGATCGATAGGGACTTACTTGCATGGGTTCGCTGTTAAAGTAAAGTAACTATATACATAAAATAATGTCTCTCGGTAAAGCCTCTAACCGTTTCCAAGAGCTTGAGCTGGCAAATTTAAGTTATGCTCTGGGTTCCTCTAGTTATCTGTAACGTAACCTTTAGCTCTCCTTTCCCTAATTTCGGTCCGTAACTTTCTGGATCTGGTACCTTGGAGCCTATTCTTTCGACCTGCAGCTGAATACTTCATTTCATATATTTGAGAAAACAAGAAAGCGAATCCTTAGGCGAGAGAATTCAATCTCCTATCTAGACGCCTTAGCTCCTGTGAATGAATTATTCCGTATACTCTCTCAGGGTATGACCCACGGATGTATTCCTCGCATTATGTCTTTACCCAAATTCTTGTGCAAGATGCGCGTAGAGATACTTGGTGTAACAATAATTATAGAGACATAAGCTTCACGCCTGTCTGTAGTGGACTTAATCAAGACTTCAGGTTCCTAGTCAGTGGCGTATATCGAAATTTGAAAGGAGGCAGCGACACAACGTACGCGACACCCTCACACACACCGATCTATTATATCCTTGTAGATTGATTGTGCTTCAAACTAGATATGTAGCTCAAGCATAAAGTCAAAGCTGCTCCTTGCCCTGAATAAATAGAGTATCACTAAGGTTCTAATATCCACACACCGGCAACATGCACCAGGGTAATAAAGGTACCACAGGCACTAGAAGCATTGACATACTTTAAATGTTTAGCTAACTAGGGGCAAGCGAGCGAGTTACTCGTCACCAGTTTCGTGCAGGCGGATGAAATCATCAAAACGGTATAGTATAGCTGATTATAGTGATTATAGTAGGCGCCAGTTAAGGATTATCTATCAAGCGTTAGTACCAACGTCCTCGTGGACCAACGTACAGCTACATGTAGCTACAGCAGCGTTAGCATCTCCGACCCATCCCACCACATGCTGTAGCGTAGATAGATGCACGTACTCTATGTACCTACTATATTTTATAGCACACCCCTAAACATCAAGTCTTTTAGAATCTTGTATAAGATCTGAACAATTACCTCGCCATAGTTCCGCAGTCTCACCGCACTCAGCATCCAACAACGTGCCTTGACATTCCTTGACGTTCTTTGAATTCAAGAATCCATTACCAAAAAGAACCCCTTCAAAAGCTATCACGATTTCTTACCAACTTTCATCAATCATGGGTGCAAACCAGAGCGCAGGCCGAACGTTTCCTCTACGTCCCCGTACACCTTTACGATTCGGTTCAGTCCCAAATGCTCTTCCCGTCAACCAAAGCGATTTCAATACAAGTCCGAGACCATACAGTGATCGCTTGACCGATGAGAGCTCGATGTTCTCATTGCTATCACAAGAGAGCTATTTCAACTCACCGTTGATGACCCCACCACTAGAATTCGAAGATACATCATACCCACGAACGAGATCCGTCTCATCGTTGTCTTCTTCTTCTGATAATAGCAATACTATGCAGCCCCATCGATTCACCTGTCCTAAACAAGACTGTCCCTACATGATTATAGGATACTCCACTTCTGAGGAACTCGAAGAGCATATGTTCGCCGTAAACCATTATCTTCCTGGTCCTACAGGTCCGGAGTTCGACTTAGAAGGCTGGTTTTCACCGCAAGAGATCCCAGATCCATACTCACAACATCCCCTTACACTCCAGAGACAGCGAATTGTCGAGCAGCAGCAGAAGCAGCAGCAAACAAAGAAATCTCAACAATGCAATTGTCATCACTGCCTTCATCAAGTCGGGTATAACGATCTCCTCCAATATGAGTCTCCACAACCTTCAATGCAGATTCAAATGCCTCCTCCACCTACAATAATTGGATACCATGATGCTGGGTTTGAGTTGGTCTCATGGCGTCAGCCAGAACCATCCTACAACTCCGCTGCTTCTCCAGTGGCCCAGAAAATGAATCAGGCAGAATATTCTTCATTGGTCCAGTCAGGCATGTATATGGACTTCAACCAAGTGGGTGCTTCAGGGAGATCATCTTTTATGTAAGGTTCTCTTGGTAATGTTTTATTTCTGGGATTTCCCAGCTGGAAAAAACCTCTTTTTTTTTCATTCGGATGTTTTTTTCTTCTTTTTTGGGGGGTGTGATCTGGTGTTCAAGGGGGGTTACGCGGTGTTACATTTTGCTTATGGAGTCAGTGAAAATACTTGTACTTCTTGCTTTTCTTAAGTTTGATTCCCCGTTGATATTCGGGGGCAAAGTTCTGTTGGGGTTTTTTTCCTGCATCTAGGAAAAAGGATGGCAATTCCCTAATTTGTATAAACTCAAAAATTAGTATTTATAGAAAGAAACCATAACAAATCATACCGAATCTCGATGAAATCAGTCAATATTTTGCTGCATATGACCAAATCTGGTGTGTTTGGGTTGAAAACTTACCAAAAATCGCCTGTTCAACTCGCACATGCATCTACATACCCGCATATATTAACCCATAGCCAATTCGCTTAAATACCATATGCCTCTAGGGTCTTCTTGGCAGTGGATCAGTATCATGTTCATGTCCCCGCACTCGCACTAAGATACTCTACAGGTAACCCAGGTTTTAGCAAAAAAAAAAACAGGCTCGACTACCCATGTAGTCTTGTCATGTGATGGCCACAAGAATCAGGAGTTCTGAGCTGAACCTTCGAGGCGAAACTGGAATAAAATCTGCTTGTCTTGTCAGTCAAAAAGATCACCTCAAGCCATGTCATGTTCATCTCAGCCGTTGAGTCGTACAAATAACTTATACTCAAGACGCCTAGTGGGTTATAATCGCTCGATGCCTTATCCTCACTATATCTGAAGTCGGCAGAAGTAGATCCATCGAAAGTACTATTGATTGCGTGCATATGGGACAGTTGCTTTCCAAATCGGATATTGCCAACTCCTCAGGGATTAACTTATTCTGGTTTAAGTCCACATTTTGTACCGGCCGGACTTGATTGATTGCGGGGTACTTATCGCGTAGGTACGGCAGCTAGGTAACATAGAGTCATGATGTAATTCAAGAGCATGGGAAAGCCCTTTCTCTCCGTGATTTTAGACTCTGCTGTAGGCACAAACAGCGACACTGCCATTGATAGCGTGGACGAAATTACAACCGCATTCTTTGACGATACGATAGCGCTGCGGTAGTACTGCCGCATACTTCTTGAATATATGGGGATAAAGCGGTATATTCACGAAATGCTATACAGATGCGGTGCCAGCTTTACTCCCATTTCTGGTGCTGAAGTTTTGTTGTTCTTGTAGAGCATCACATGTTGGTTCAACTAGTTGCCTAGGCAAGATCCGAGTATATGAAAGGCAGCGCCTCGGCGAAGCCTACTTGTAGTTATTGGAAGAACATTTGGGAGAAACCTCGGACCCTGTGAGGTCTCTGATTGTTCTAGCGGCCTGTTATCCTGGTTACTAGCTAGATCCTCGTTACTAAACGGGAAGATAGCTAAATAATAGAGCGCGGATGTGATCAGGATCAGTATTTTATTGAAGAATGGAAATATCCATTTTGAAGGAGTTTGAGTGCCTAAATCCGCTACAATGAATGAACAAACATGATATCTAGGATTAGGGGCCTCGGGGCAAGTTGAGGTCTTTGTAACTGGCCAGAATACCAATCTGGGGGCGGGTCTACTCTGTCAGCCGGTCAGTCACAGGAGCCATATAGAACTTCATATTTATCTCAGCTGAACCCTACTTACAGTCGTTCACAGAGGTTAATTAATAGAGAAATGAGTGATGGACGCAGATTCAACCTCTCAAAACTGGGGTCGATACCCCAAACGCTGGGTCCCCAAGGTAGGGGCGTACAGCACATGCCCAGACTTCGAGCCCTTGACTGATATCAATCTCGGCTATGGTGCGGACATTCTTCCTAGTAGTTTCATATAGATGGTCGAAGTTGTTTCTTAGGTATGTTCTGATTGGCCATGACGTTGCGAGTGACCGACAGTGATCAGACTCTTCTGGTCCTACCTGTACCCGAGTTTATGCAGTAACCTCTCCTTGAGCTATTGCTTCTTTGTGACAAATAAACATCATAAAAGACCTGTGAGACTTAAAACAGTGGTAATTGCAGTTGATATCGAGGGATGGGACGTGATAGGTGATATTGAGGTTGACGTTAGCCGCATCAGGCGTCGTCAGCAATTGGTTAGTCAGAGTCATCACACTGCGACCACGTTACAAGCTAATAGATTTAACGTACATGTGTTGGGAATGGATACTTTATTGATGGGACGTTGATGAAAATACGAACTAAAGTAGATCGATGACAAAGACAGAGGAGACAAGAGAGAGAAGATCGAGGTAGGGAGGTCTAACTAAAGTGCATGTTCGATCCACGATGAACTCTCCACAATCACCCATGAGCCCCGTTCCTATCTCACCCCACCACTTCTATCTAGCTTCTCTACTAAATAAATGTACTAACAACATGCACTTAGTCTCGTACGATCGTGCCAAGAGTTCGTACCTCACGATACTTTTCTCTAGAAGCCTAAGGAGCCAATCTGGAACGTACCCATAACTATACCATGCATTAACGCCATCAAACGCTTAAATCTCTGCTGACTATAGTTTTAGGAAAGAAGCGCCATATATGGCCGTGGTCGAGGTTCGAACAATAATTTTAGAACATATAGATACATGTATTCACCAGCAGGAAGATTAAAGACTGGGCTAGGCTTTGGCCAATCTGCTAATATTTTGAAGCTAGCTATAGAACTCTGATCATGTCATGATATTTTGATATTAAATCTTGATTTCACCGAAATCGATAGGAAAATGAAGTAAATCTTTCTCCAACCTGAAGGACCTTGCGGATTTTCAATATTGAGCTCATGGGTACAAGTACATGTGTTGGAGCCGAAAAACGTTTTAAATCTCACCCACAAATTTAGGAAAGCCTTTAAACCAGACTGCTTGTGATGAAAGGGCACTATCCGGTTAATATTCAATCAAAAGAAGACTAGGCATAAGGCAGCTCCAATCTATGAAAATGAATACATGAAGCGATTCTCGTGGTTTTCGAACCAACTGTTTCCGCCGCGCCGGTCAGACTCTGTTCCAATCTGCAGTATCAGCTTTATTGTGGGTACATGTATTGCGGGTTTAATTCCACAAGTAAGCGAACATGGAGGTCTCTAGTAGCCGTGGAAATGCATCAATTTTGATGTTTCCCATACAAAAAGTTGTGAGGTACACATTATTTGATGCAATAATCGACCTACCGTGTGTTAAAGGCATTCCTGTCCCATTACCGACACCTTTACTGATGCCTTTACAGTGGTGTCCGGTGTTTCCGGTTTTCCGCCGGAAAATCAATGAAGCCATGCTTTTGGATCTCGAGATAGTTGGGCCCTCAAACAAAATATTTCGGTGGGGTCATCAAATGATATCTGGCACCAATGGGCTTGTAACAGTTGGGGAATACAATTTCATTTGGTGGATCTATTGTTTGGCATATACACGCAGGATATTCTGACTTGTTACTCCTGGTATAATAGTAGGATCCGGATGTCTTCTGATGATTTGTTTCATTGGCGGTGGCCTTCGTCAATCATGTCAAGCATCACCGGTGACCAATTTATCCCCCCATGTGTATACACACAAAATCATTTGAGACAGAAGCGTGACAGGTAAAAAAGTCGTTGGTAAAGTCATCTGTAAAGCCGTCCAATTTCTCTTAAAACGACCAAAATATTGACATTTCCCAGCGAGACTTGGGACCCCAGAAACGACTTTCCCGACGACTTTATCGAATATTCTAGGTACACATTTCCACGGTTCCTAGAGCTAGAGGGTGGTAACCATACAAACCACCGAACACCAAAACCCCAAAGCCGCACCCTTGGAGTGATATTTTGGCCATAGGTACTATCACCACCGAGGAATCCATATACAATACTCTTTTCCTCTATATTCTTGTGGTTGTTGAGCCGAAATAAGTGTTTAAAGTCGAACTCCCATACAAATTTTGGTTGCATCACTGGATATCCCTTACGACAAAGTCACCCTCCTATACATTTTTCAGGTGTCTCCACAGTCTGTAGGTAGCTAGATTTTCTGAATATCACCACGCCGTCGCGGGCCTCCGATTTTGCTCTGACGAATGAAGGGATATGTATTGTTGGGTGACAAAAGTTCTCGTACATACGAGGATGGTCATGAAACAACTATATATAACTCTACGACAAAAGATATAAAGAACATACATATTAATATGATCAGAGAGCTGAAGATTGGTCCCGGTTGCCGACTTTAAGAATTAGTCTTGTAGGTAACCCCTGCTGGTTACTATGCGAAAATCACGAGAACTTTTATCACCCAACAATACTTACATGTATGATACATACTTGTCACGGTATTAGAAAACAAGTATGGAGCTGATTGAATTCATTCGCAAAATACATACATAATACATACTTACATTCAATTCATTTACCCACAAAATGGGGGTATTCAAAACGTAAAGCGTAAAACATAGATCATGAACTCTGATGCACATTTCAAAATGAAAAAAAAACCATAATTTCCCGTTGAACCATGAACCCATCCCCATATGAAAAAGAAAAGGAAATAAAAAATACAGTTCAAGGAAAAAATAAAACATGATCATGATCATTTCCCTATGGCCTTCCCCTCCGAGAAAAGCCATTGAGCAACTTTATCTGTCAACCCTCTCTCTTTGGCGACTGATCCCAACATACTCCCTAGCGCTACGAGTCCCAGCGCTGTAACAACACTGAGACTGATCATCGACCAACTAATTCCTCGCTCTGGAACAGGTGGCATAGGACTAGTAGATCGACTGGCCCTATCGTTTTTGGAAGAATATTGAGGGAGAAGGCTGGGTCCGTTGGAGTTGCTTGTGTTAATAGCGGAGATCTGTTTCCGGATGAAATCGAGGTCTGACTCCATTTTACCGAGGCGGGGACCCAGTTGCGAGATATCTATGGTGAGTTTTTGATGTTCTTGATCTTGCTGTACATCTCTCGTGTCCACCAATAAATTGCGGGATTCAAGTGATTCGAGGACCTCTCTCTTGAAACAGCTAATGGTCTCTTGTAGCTGATCAAGAGTAACTGTTGTTCCGCTGATTAAACTTGGCTCTGGGCGGGAGTCTCCAATTTTAATACTGCACTCATATTCAAGAATCTCGCGATCACCACTTAGGTCTGAAAGTCGCTCGGAAAAGAAATCTTCCTGGTAGGTCAACGGTGTATCGCTTGTGTCCCCTCTGCTGGAAGGGTCATTAGACATTGGGATGTGGTAAGCCTTCCCGAGTTCCGACGCAAGACTGTCAATACCGAGCGAGTTATGAGGCGCAAGATTCTCCAAAGAATATTCTCGCCCAATCTCCTGCCTTTCCGGTGTATCCATCCTGAATTGTGGCGGTTTTGGTAAGGATGCATCTCTTGCGCTTTCCTCACTCCGCTGTTTGATAGTATCACTAGCGTTCTCTGTATAGGCGTTGTTTGAAATATCGTTGTTCGTTATATCCATATGAGGAAGACCGTGATCCTGACCGCTTTCCTTAATTTCCTTGACTGGAGTATCTTTGAGCAGGTTTGATGAATCGCTCTGTTCTAATGACGCTTCGTCCTGCGCAGCCGCAGAATCTATCTTTTGTTCTCCGGCGAACTCATCTTCATTATCCAAATCACGAACTCCAGCAGCAATACCAAAAGCCAATTCTTCCCCTGCTGCTTCTCCCGCCGGCATATCCTCAGAACTCTTAAAGTCCTCCGGAATTTCCTGCTCGTGTGCTGAATCCTCCATCAACAGCTCTTCAAAAGCTTCCTCCAGCTCTTCGGCTACCTGGTCGTGTGTCAAACTTCCTTCAATCTCTTTAGTTTCCTTATCCGCTGCGGTCTTAATTGATGCTTCCTCTGCAGGGGCATGATCTGATGCCCGAGCATGAGTATCAGCCTCTCCCGAATTATATCCCGAACCATGGTTCATATCGATGTCTTTCAGTTCCTGCGTGCCCAGTACTGTTTCACCTAATGAAGCCTCGGCCGATGGATTTTCGGCATCAATCTTTGCCTTGTCTGCTGAGTTCTCCGCCAATAGTTCCTCCAAAGGAGCATGATGCTCTGAGCCTCGGTCATGATCATCCCCCTTCCCAGGGTTATATCCAATCTCATCGTCCACATTTATAACTTTCAATTCTTCAGTCTCAGGTGATACCTTCTCCACCGGAACCCTAGGCGACGTTTCTTCTGCGATGTTCTGCGAATCCTGTGAAGTCTGTTGTCCGTGGGTTGGGATTCCCACACTCTCGGCGCCGGAAGAAGTCTCGAGGACCGCAGCTTCAGTCGATGACCCTTCGGCGGGAGCAAGGTGCTGTGTCCAGTGATCATGACTATCGCCCTTCCCAAGATTATATCCAATCTCACCCTTAACATCTATATCCTTAAGCTCCTCTGTCTCTGGGGTCGGCTCTTCCGCTACAGCCTCAGATGATGTCACCTCCACGGAACTTTGTACTTGCTTAGCTCTCTCTCCACCAATCGCTGATACCGATTCCTGATCAATCCCCCTTGGCTCGTCTATTAGCTTCGCTAAGGATGATCCCCCTGCAGTAACCTCTTCAGCCACAGACGCGGTAAGGCCATGACCTTCTGACTCCTGGCCATTGTTTTCGCCCTCACCAAGGTTATATCCAATTCCATCGTTGATATTAATATCCTTCGACTCTTGAATCTTTGGGGCAATTTCCTCCGCTGCGATCTCTGTCGATGAATCTTCGAGAGAGCTCTGCGCCTCTTTACTGTCCTTCCACTCCTGCGCCGACTCTCCGTTAGGCGGATCACTGGCAGCAACCTGGGCGTATGCAACAGTCTCCCCCTCCATGCCATGTGTTGACTGGTTCTCAAGCACATTCGGTATTGCTGCAGTCATCTCCTCCCCGTACGACGAAGCCCCCACTGATTCCTTGTCAGCATTCTGCGCCGAATTCTTCGTTAACGGCTCCTCAACAGGAACATTTGCGCATCTAACTATCTCCTCCTCCAAAGCCTCATTTGAGGGTTCCTCAATACCACTCTGGGCCTCGTTTGTCGAATGCTGAATTATTGGCTCCGCAGGAGCATGATGCTCTGACCCTCGGTCATGGTCGTCACCCTTTCCTACATTGTATCCAATCTCTCCACCCTCAAGGTCGATATGTCTCAATTCCCTTGTCTCGCGGTCTACTTGGGTGTGTTGAGGACCTATATCTTCAGGGTTTAGATGATTGTGTTTGAGTTCTTCGGTTTCCACAGAGATGCCGGAGTGCGAGGTATGTGCTGGTGAGGCTGTTTCGGGTGATGTGGGGTTCGGTGTTTTCGTAGACGTATTTTGATCCTCTTCGTTCTCGCCCTCCTCCTCCTCCTCCTCCTCCTCCTCCTTCTTTTCAGTTACTTCTGTCTGCTCTAATACTTCCTTCTCTTCTTTTTGTTTGTCCTGCTCAATTTCGCTGTTGTCACCGCTTCCGGTCGTCCGGGGTGCTGGTTCGGCTTCCACACTGGTTGGCACATTATCTGTCCGTTCCTCCTCCTCCATCATAATTGAATCATGAATTGGCTCGTTCTCAGTCCCTGTAGACATTTTTTCGACACTTTCACCACTCTCTTCAGCTTTCGGAATGCCTTTTTCGACGGGCAATGGATGCGTCTCGAGTAACTTATTTTCAATTGGCGCGCCAATACCAATTGAGCCAACAGGAGGTTTGTCTTCAGTGGACGGTATAGGAGAATCTGAATGTGGTAGTGGTATTTGAGGAGAAGCCGCGACCGGTTCTTGAGAACGACCAGCGCCAGAGGCTGCTGCTGGCTTGCTGGGCTTACTCTTTTTATTCTTGTGATTTCGTTTTCCTTTCCCCATTGTTTTGTGGTGTGATCAATTATTTTCTGGTTACCTGGATTTCGAAAAGTTGTTTCGGCCAATCGGAGTGGGAGATGTGAGATGGGTAACAAATATTTGGTGGTTGCAGGAAAATTTTGAAGGACACCCACCACCCCGTTGTTGGTTTGGATGATGGTATTATTACACTAGTCGCATGTTTTTGACAGGCATATGACGTCTTTGGACATCACTCAACCAATCAGCCTTGGCGCGGGGCGAGAGATTGGGATATATCGATTGAAGAAACAGTAGCCAAAAAGAAGGCCCAAGAGTCTTGTCTATGCTAAAAGCTACTATTCCACCTCAACCCTTCTCTCGTCCAAGCCATGACCACACATCAGACCTTTTTTGTCTATTTTCGCTCAATTGACATTCACTCGCGTGAGAACCATAGCCAGTAGCGGCGCCTAGCTAGGTAATAATACTATTCATTTTGACTCTTCATAACTAATAAAAAACTACTACTCTCTTCTCCAGGTCGGTAAACGTTTCTTACAATTAACATTCCAGCTGCAAGTGTTCCACTCCAGGCATGAACAAAAAAACGTGACCATTTCCAATAATGCTTGAATCGAGCTCATTTAGAGAAGAGAATTTCTCCAACCTTGGCCTAGACATATATCAGCACAGCTCATCTACTCAAACCGGTATCCATCCAAGGGGATGGACTTACTTAACGGCTGTTTACTCTGAAATTCCTGCCTTGGCCCTCTGCAACCTCATGTCCAACCTCCTGGCCCTCATAATATCAGCATCCTCCCTCAAAAACGCCTCCTTCTCCTTCTTGGCCTCAACGGACTCGAACCCAGAGCCCAATCCTCCTCTGAGACCTTGAAGTTCTCCATTAGGTCTCTTGTTGGCCCCACGAATAATTTCGAACTTACCACCTTCCGGGATTGGAAGAGGGTGATCGAAGTTCGGAGGGTCAAGACTGGGACCAATCCCTGCCTTCCATGGGCGGAAGGTATTCTTTGCAGTGGTCAGTGCAATGGTGGCAAGGATGCCGGTGATGATATAAACGAGTTTCATCGTGATCTTTGATTATGATAATGATCAGTCAGAGGTGAATAGGAGAGTGGATAGAGCAAGTCAAGAGATTAGTTGAAGGCTTTTGTGCACGTGTGACGAGCCTTTCTCCACTTGAGTATCTCGAAAGGAGTGATTGAGGTGTGAATACCTTCGTACAATACGTTTGGAAAGGAATGTGGATACGGTCTGGTAATGAATGATTAGAAAAATTGTCCCACTTTGCGGAAACAAATCATATTAATGAAAATTTCGCATACGTAAGTCTGTTTAATAGAAACTGTGGTAACAGTCCTGCTGTCGTTTTTGAATTCGCGGAATTCTGTGGTAAAGAATGTTTTCTTAGAGGATAACGTGGAGACGAGGGGAAACGTAAACGTGTCACCTGTTTTATTCAGACTAACAATTTGACACATCTAATTCTGGCATCATTTGTTCTCAACCTAAGCATCGTCATAGTGGCTGTGCAATTCTAACTGGTGATTATGTAATATTACAGTTAAATGTAGTACAGCACTGGGCACGACTAGTGGTATTAGACTTCGGGTCTAATTAAATATATGTTGCGATTCGAAGCGAGATCGAGACCTCAAGAAGATATTTATCAGAAATGAGTTCAAAATGCACATACTATGCTAAAAGGGCGCGCAAACCGGCTATGGTACTCCTTTTAATGATCAACCACTTGTGGTAATACGAACGGACTAGGGGTACGGTATTCATACGGTAATATTCTTCGTGCAGTCCCATTTATGCCGGTCCAATTCCATATTATCCACTAAATACTGTAGTACTCATGTGATATTTATTTCACCCATGTTTTCTTATTGTATGTAGCCTTGTACAGTGCATGTAATATGCGTGCTGTTACGCCGTCTTATATGCAGTGTGAGTGATAGTTCATGATCAAAACTCGATACTACATGTATGTAGCACATGCACAGCTACAACAAGTACTTGTAGGTACACACACATGTATATCTAGAGTGCATTAATGTATATACATGTGTATACCTTATATAATCCTAATATCGCCTATGAATTGCACGTGCGCCCCTGTATAAAACTTAAACTTAGAAAGTATCATGACATCAATCTACAGTAAGTACGTACATCGTAGGTGCAGTCACGTATGCAGAGGAAAGAACCCAATTCCTTCCAGGAGCCTTTCATTTAAGGTTTTTTGGCTTGGCATGTAATTCTAGCTACAGGAAGAAATTTAATTTAGTGCTAAGGTTTGGGCAAAGGTAAGATTGCTCAGTCTCGTGTCCATTCACAGTACTAATATTGATTCCATGTACGTCCCAGATTCACTAGCTATAGGCTCTTAGCATGATCATGTCGAATCGACTGATTGATTACAGCAAGTTCCATAATACTAGTACTTTCACACACATAGTGTGATTCTTTAAATAATAGCCTACTTAGGAAGCCCGAGCCCGATATTCTCCCGAAAAAGTAATTTCAACTGCCCAGATAGCCTATATAGGCTATTCTTCGATAATTGTACTATGAGTTGAGAACGCTTTCTGAGCCTAGTATTATGAAACTTGCTGTAATTGATAATTCACTAATCGTTTACAGCCCGGAGGCTATGACATAAGAGTCGACTGAGCATAACTAGTTGCCTTTTCGTAAACGAAAATTAATTCAAGATTAATATTAGAGGGCTCGAATCTTAAAATGTCCACCGAGAGTATTAAATTATTCTCTTGATACGGGTAAGATAGACTCTAGTTCTACGTAAATTAATACCCCCTAAACCCTGTACCACCAATTACAAGCTATTGTGAGAGTTATGTATAATTAAAACAATGTAGCTAACTAGCTAGCGGCCGGTTTCATCCAGCACATGCATGAGGACAAAAAGATAAGGTTTTAAAGGATATGTGTTGCAATTGGTATAATATCATTGTTCTCCAGTTCCGCGTACTTGCAATTGGGGTTAAGGCTAGCTTACTTCGTCTTCCACGTCGATTGAATTCCTGAACCCATTATACAGCATGCGTCTCGGCTCTCCAAGATCAGGATCTCTTTTATATTAACCAGGCCTTGAAATTTGATCAATTAGCCGAGCCGGATATTCCATGTTGACAACACTATTTCTGGACTATGGTTAACTTATCCTACCGATACTAAGGTTTCATTAGCTATAATTGATCAAAGAACACCTCTCTACATATATATACTTACAGAAGTTACTCCCGCTCAATCCTACACACGGCATGTCTACGTACCGATTCAGTCAATAATACTCGCGGCAGGGAACGTTTATCATCTGGTCAACAGCGCTGCAGCACGCACATAACTCAGCGGCATTCGAGCTGGAGAGTTGTCGCAGTACATATAGCGGTTCAATTTATGAGCTGGTCTTCTGGGAAACGAGCTTGAATTCAAAATTTGTTACACTCCGAACCAATCGAGGCTTGGCTACACTTCATGCACTGAAATCATAAAACATCACTCACTTTTCGTTCCACGTGATATGATGTCACCCATGCATCCCTGACTGGGCATGACAATTTCAAAACCCCTCAGAGACTTGATTACCTCGATTACCTTGATTGGCGCTGTAGAGCTACAAAGTAAGCAGCTCTTTGGCTAGGTTGTGACACTATATCGAGATATCAGTTGAGCGGTTGAGACAGAATGAGTGCGTTTGTTCCGGACATTCCCGGTCAGGATGGACTCGACCCACGAGCCTCATGATCATGGTGTTGTATATTGTAATTGTGTCATCTTGAAGACTGGAAGCATGTACTATATGCAAGCATAAGTTCGCAAAATATCTAGATCAGACGCCGCTACCACAAAAATCTCCCCCAGCGTTCTCTTCGCTTGCACAAAAACCAAACTATGTAAAGCACACATGGTGATCGACGTTCACCGCGCCACCAGACGGCTGCGGTGAGATTGAAAATTTAAAGTTCCATAGCACAATGAGAACCCCGAGATCCGACGATTTGTGATCACGATTTCTTCCCTGAAAACCGCAGGGAAGTGGCCATGGGAAGGGCCAGTTGAAGAGATAACCATAAAAGAATTCCATAGAGGAACAAGTACCCGTTCCCGTTCCCGATCGTTAGATTAAGCAATGCGTACATGTATGATCCATGAATCCGCAGGTGGGAGAGTTCTGGGTTTGTGTGGGTTTCTGCGACTTGTGTAAATCTTTTTTTTTTTTCTTTTCGGTCCCTTTGGCAAAACAGATTTCTGAGGTTGAGGTTTGGAGTTGAGACTGGTCACTATCAGTGCCGACGACCGCTGGGGAACGTCATAACTAAGCTTTACTGCCAACGCTGGGCTGCGTTGTCTCCGCCTCTCGGATCGAGCGGCACCGCATACGCCTCCACAAAACAAGCCTTGACAACAGAGATGATGGCTTTTTGCCGTCTTGGCAATTCTTGGCAATATAATCCAGGTCCTGCGTGAGTTCGGAATTGGTCAACAAGGTTTGGTTTAGTTATCGCACAAAATCTCCGACGAAAGAAAAAAAAAAAAGAGCTCACCTATCACCTGCATAAACTCCTGCAACCTACCCCTCCTCTCTCTTTCGTCGGACTCTCGGAGCTTTGCTTCGGGAAGCAAATTTGACTTTATCTAGGTAATCTAGGCCCCTGGATCACATCTAACTTCCTAAACTTCTGTCTATACATGCTCTCGGTCTGGTCTCCGGGTGTAGACGTACTCAGGTACGTAGGCTGCTATGTTCCAGTTAGGTACATATTCTATATGTACTCATCTATCGAATAACAGATAGATTCGAAAGGGGGCTTTTTCTGGCCGGTGTGTTCTCCGTTCTCGCCCCATACCATTTCTTTGTAAGTGCACTCTACTGTTTATGTCCCTGGCTGGATAATACCATAGGGATCGACCGGTATCTGGACGAATGTGGGAAAGAAAGAGGAATGCTGCTTTGATCTATGCAGCTGAGATATTCACACCGCAAGATGCCGTTTGTTTACTGGAATTAACTTGTACGTTACCAGGATGCTTTCTGCCCCCATGTCCATGGGCGATTTCACCTTTCTCAAGTAAGGATCAGAAAACATAACCGACGAATGAACCTACTACATAGTCAGCTAGCTGTGCAGATCAAATGCTCTTTGACTACGGCTGGCCCATGGGGAGTACTCCACATTGATGTGTTGAGGACCTTCCCTTTCCCCACTGCCGCCTCCCATCATGGGGAAAGGAAGCCACCGCAAATGGGATCATTCTGCTCTTGCGTAATCCTTATCCTATGGAAAAATAAGAAAATATAATAATAAATCAAATAAGAGGGGCATGCACTGTCTGGGTTTCTCCTGCACCCTCGTTTCCACATCCATACTTTATTTTACCTGTACGCTTGTCAACCATGATTGATTGCACTACCAACGGGAATCCGCAACACTACACAGAAACACTTTTACACCTTGTAGCTCGGCTATTACTCGCCAGTTTCAGGTCTCCTGCGGGGACTTAGCGAGGTTGAACTTCAATTTCCTCCGATCCTCCGCGAAGGTGGCCGAGTCAGTTGAGCTGTCGTGGACGGAAGCATATCTACCTGCATGTGGGTTTATTGGTTTGTGGTGTGTTAGCTTACTTGTATGTAGATGCACTAGCTGCCTTGAACTAATTATCAATCCCACCCCCAACTCCTGCTTATCATGAATACTCATTGCATAGTTGCTGATCACTTCGGCGTGAATATACCTCATTTGTCTCAGAATCCGTCAACGCTATAAAAATAAAATATCTATATATACAGCTATTATTTCCCTCTCTCTCTATCCTTCCTCCCATCCTCACTTTCATCTGCAGGACAACCTTTCTCTAGAGGTTTACCAGGTGAAAGATCAATATATCACAGAATGGCGAAAATGAGCGTAGGCAGATATATTGCGACTAGAGTCACGACTCTCAAGCCGCCAGGCCATGTTCCTCCAAATCCGTTCACCACTCTAAGGTCGTTGAATTGGAGACAATGGCAATTCTTCCTTATTGCATTTGCTGGTTGGACTTGGTAGTTAATCCTACACCCCGCACGACATCATACAAGTCTAATTACTAACGTACAATGATAATATAGGGATGCGTTTGATTTCTTCACCGTCTCTTTAACTGTTACAGCGCTGGCAAAGGACTTTGGAAAAACCAAGGCCGATATTACCTGGGGTATCACCTTGGTTCTGATGTTGCGTTCGATTGGTGCCATCACTTTCGGTTTGGCTGCCGATAAATGGGGTCGCAAGTGGCCATTCATTATCAATAACGTTCTCTTTATTGTTCTGGAGTTGGGAACTGGCTTCTGTCAAACGTGAGATCCACTAGAGTTGCCGAATATCTGCGGATCTATATTGACCTATCTTTCCTGCAGTTATGAGCAATTCCTCGGTGTGCGTGCACTCTTCGGAATCGCCATGGGTGGAATATACGGAAACTGCGCTGCAACAGCTCTTGAAGATGCTCCTATCGAAGCCCGTGGTATTCTCTCTGGAATGCTCCAACAGGGCTATGCATTCGGCTACCTTCTCGCCACAGTCTTCGCCCGCGGACTTGTCGACACTACACCTCATGGATGGCGCCCACTTTTCTGGTTTGGCGCTTGCCCGCCGGTGTTGATAATTGTGTTCAGAATGTATCTGCCAGAAACCGACTCGTACCTAGAGCGCCAGGCGCTAAAGGCAGAGAGAGCTGAGGGTGTAGAGGGAATCGAGAGGGTTATGTGGAAAGAGGCTAAGATTGGCTTGAAGAAGCATTGGTTACTGCTGATCTATATGGTATTGTTGATGGCTGGTTTTAACTTCATGGTAATAATCACATATGCTCAGTATACGAACTACTTGGCGCTAACATCATGAATAGTCCCACGGATCCCAAGATCTCTACCCTACCATGTTGGAGAACCAGCTCGAATTCAACAACAACAAAGTCACCGTAACCCAGGTCATCGCTAACCTCGGCGCTATGCTTGGTGGTACCCTCATTGGCTATTTCTCCCAGATGTTCGGCCGTCGCCTTTCCATCATTGTCGCCTGCATCGGCGGAGGTGCCCTCCTTTATCCTTACTGCTTCATCAGAAATAACGGTGTTATTGGCGCCGCCTTCGCAGAACAGTTTTTTGTTCAGGGTGCCTGGGGTGTCATCCCCATCCATCTCGTCGAGCTCTCTCCCGCAGCAGCCAGGACTACCATTGTCGGTTCAGCATACCAGCTTGGTAACCTTGTCTCCTCGGCGTCCTCGACCATCGAGGCGACCATGGGTGAGAGGTTTAGACTTTCTGGTGAAGGTACCACTGCTAGATATAACTACGGATTAGTCATGGCAATCTTTATGGGCTGTGTCTTTGCCTATGTGATTGTATTGACATTCATCGGTCCCGAGGCTTTGGGCAGAGATATGGCAGAGAGCACAGTTGTGGAGGATGTTACTGATAGGAAGGGAGAATGGGAGGATGGCGAGAAGGCTGGAGTGGTCGAGGATGAGGGCAGAAGAGTTCCCGTTTAAAGATTTTACGAATCAGTTATGTATATATAGGCTAGCTACTTACTTTATAAGATTATAATGGAGATGAATCGCATGGCAGACCTTCGAATTGTTCTACTCGGAAAGGATCCGTAGGATGACGCTTATATGAGTGACGGTTCATGGATCATGGTCGATTAAAGTCTGCGACTCACGCAGCTGTCTTTAGAAGATTAAGAGCTAATCAGTTGCGCCAAGAAAAGACGGTGGTTAAGTATGTATTATTGGATAGTTAACAGTAAATTCCCCATCAAACGAGATGTTTTCTGAGCTCGTTCCCGAATCAATTTCACCGAGCTCACAAGATGGGGCTCAACCCACAATTACACACCCAATTTTACATGAGATATTAGAGAACAGCACTAACTACTGAAATTCATAGAGGTAAATGTGGGTAGTACCTAGGCTCGTCCCCAACCCGCCTACTTCACTGTGGGCAGCTTGCTGCAAGTAACGGGCTAGGTACGAGACTAGGTATTACCTGCACCTTGGCCTACTACTAGCCCTCATACTATTGTGGGAGGGAAGTGTGGTGCTTTGCCTGCTGTATTTAAAATGAAAAAAAGATAGTAAAGTGACTGATCATGATACAGTGCGACTGGAGAGGAAAGAACTTTTTTATACGACGTGACAGATAAGTAATTGAAAGCTAAGACAGGTAGTAAAGAAGGCAATAGTTTGGTTATTCACTTGTCGAGACCCCTCAACACCTATCGATCCGGAAGACATGTAATAGTGGGTACCATGACTATGAGGCTATCTGCACGAAATAAATCTGCTCTGAATGCAATTAATGAATTAAACAAACAAAAAAAAAAAATCTGCTCTGAGTCTACCTTCATAGACTATCACTCGATAATCATGAGGGAGTGAGCGATCTAGAATAAGGATATCCGAGTGATAACTTATGAATATTTTGTTTATTTTTAGGACTTACCGTTAATTCTCCCCAAATCCACTATCTCCGCATAGGTAAATGGTATGTCCGGACCAAAGAAATGGCAGCATCAGTAGGGTTTCTACACATTCGCATGCCGAGCCTTCTTTTCTTTGGCCCGGACATACCATTTACCTATGCGGAGATAGTGGATTTGGCGAGAATTAACGGTAGCTCTAACAAGGGCTAATTGATATGTATAGAGAAACTTAGAATCACAACAAGTCAGAAGAAATAATTCGAACTCTAGAAATGCTTGTCTAAGTATATATTTCAATTATTTCGCCTTGAGAATTTATAATGGCACTAATCTAACTCAATGTACATGTTGGATAAAGATATATATAACATAAGCCGAGTAGTCTCCAGTTTTTGCTACAGATATAGCAATACGATGCGGAGGTCTGATATACATGTAGTACATATAGGTTTGCAGTACTGGCCAGGGATATCTATATATCCTGCTTTTTCAAAACTTAGTACATCTTCTTCCTTTCTGCACATATTACTTGCTAGCTACTTAAAGGTCAAGGCAGGGAACAATGACATGAACGTTATTGAAATAAGAATTAGTTGGTACATCTTATATTACAAATTATCTCCCTATCGATCTCTAACTCTACCGGTCGCCAAGCCGCTCATGCATCCCAATCAATATGTTTAATCACTCAATAAGACAAACTATGGGGACAGTCTTTATAAAGAATAGATCTTTAGTTCCACCTAGGCAAAGTCGCCTTTAACCTATCGGCGAGGAGCCTCAATTCTCATGTGTTACTGGGAAGCCCGGTGGGTATGTAGCTCCTCCAGCTCGATGAAATCTGCTCGAGAGTAAAGATCGGGAAAGCTCGAGCTATGAACTAAATCTATAGAGTGGACTCGACTCGCCGACTACAGTATTCTTATTCGGAATCAAGATCAGAATCAGAATCGGAAATGACAATGCCAGCAGACTATCATAGGTAAATCATGGTTTATGAATGTATTTTCCAAAGCTATTTTTTTACTCACAACTTATGCCAATACTCGAAACAAGGCAATTTTGATCCAACTCTCCGCAAGTTATGTATCCAAAGAGTAAATTCCACAGAATAGTTGCCGCTATATATTCACAAAACCTATTTTTATTTTTATTTTATTGTTTATAAATTAAAGTTGAAGACATCACTGACAGTATATGTAGCTCATCATGAAGCACCCAATTGATCAAGGGGAGGAAGGAAAGTGTTGCATCGACTGGCCTCGGCCTCAAGCAGGATCTGCCTTGGACCGCTTGGAGCTAGACACATGTATACTTCGAGCTCGATGTTCCTCGAGGGGGCTTTGTTTCAATTTATAATAGTTATTAAATATCTGTTCACGAGTAAAACTTACCAGGGAAACATTTAAATGACAGGAATCGGAGTATATCTATCCCCATATATATAACAAATGAGCTGGTTCATGCAATTAATGAATTAAACAGAAAAAAAAAAAAAATGAGCTAGTTCGAGAACTCACATTAAAGGGAGAATATATGCGTATGTGCCAATACCTCTACTAGTAATCTAACTTCTAGGAAACCTCGAGACGAGCAATACCGTAAGGAGGTCGTAGCTAGCGTATCAGCATGCGTCGGTTTCATTGGTGGTATGTCTAAAACTGGGCCTCGGGGCCAACACTTCGACCTCGTGGACCGTACTGTATGATGAGATCTCGAGAGCGAGCGCTCCTTAATTACGAGTGGACCATATATGCAAATCAGAACAGGAATCTTGAAGTGACATCACGCGAATTAGAGGGAATATTTCACCTTTACAAATTTGGTAATCTTGGTTTGTAAGTCATTCTAGCTGGCCACGAATCGGTGCGAATGTTCACCCGTACTTATGTAACCTTTTTAACTCCAAACGGGTTTGGATATCCTCCGATCAGTCAATCGTAACAGATACTCGAGTCCCGGAGCTCCGTTTCAATGTTACATTAAGTAATCGGTTTATATATATGTAACCATGCGTAAGGCGGGTACATGATGTAGCTATAGAAGTTTTGGAGAGATACAGCAAGGGCACTACAAAGATGAAATGCAGATCTCGATACAACAACACATGCAGTTTAAAATATGACAACGGAGGTCCGGAGAACCAATATTGTAAATTTGGTGACTTAAGCACAACTTTGCATTTGAAATCACGGATAAACCATAATCCGATAACATGTGATCGGCATCTAGCTGTGTTCTACTCTAGGTACATGTAGGCATGGCGAGATTCTAAACCAGTGAAAGATGCATTGATAAAACCTGTTTTAAGGTCGGCAGAGTACTCGCGACCAGCAACAAGAACCCGAAAATTCACGTCCTAATCTGCAATTTCTATTGGAGTAGAAGCCAAAAATACACCAAAGAATTGCAGCTGCATATTCGGGTTCTTGTTGCTGGTCGAGTACTACTCTACACACTTTACCAATCATGGATGCGTCAACCGAATAGTAGAAACCGGGGAATTATCCGGGGCTCCCCCGGTACTGAAGCATTTAAGCGATGCCAGGATAGGGCTAGTAAGAATCCCTACAGTTTATCCATTGGTAGCTCGAGAGCTATATCCATCAATTATTAAGCTCTGTATGCATATGATTGGTTTCTTGCATGTCGGATTCGGGGCAATAGTAGACGGTGGAGGAGGGGGCCAAAGATTCCAACACTGAAGTATAAACGTATATAAATCATTGCGTCGGTCCCGAGTTACTTTATCCTCACTACCTGACGAATCTTAGAGTATCACGTCGCTACAATCATGATGTTCTCTCGATCTCTAGGCTTCTTAGTTACAGCAGCAGCCCTTGTGACAGCAACGCCTTTCAAGAACAATGGAAGCTCCACAACAGCTCCCACCGTCACCATAAAAAATGGCACCATCGCAGGCAACTACCTACCATCTTTTGGCATTGATGAATTCTTCAGCATCCCTTTCGCTGCACCTCCTGTTGGTAACCTTCGTTTCAGACATCCCCAGCCTCCGAGCAAATGGAACGGGACACTCGATGCCACGGAACATGGGCCATCATGCCCCGGCTTTGGGCCGTTTTCCGAAGGACGGCCGTTAGATGAGGACTGCTTGACCTTAGATGTTGTCAGGCCTTCTGGCGGGGGAAAGGGTTTGCCAGTTATGGTCTGGATTTATGGAGGAGGGTTCTCGGGAGGAGCGTCAGCGGACCCAAGATATAATCTATCATATATCGTTAATGCAAGTGTGGCCATCAAAAAACCTGTTATTGCCATTGGTATCAATTACCGGCTGGCAGGTTTTGGGTTTTTGGCTGGACAGGATGTTTTCAATTCTGGAAACTCGAACGCTGGCTTGTTTGATCAACGACAGGCACTAAGATGGATTAGAGAGAATGTGGAGGCTTTTGGTGGAGATAAAGATAAGGTTACCATTTGGGGCGAGGTGTGTTGTGCCTCTGAACTCGAGGGCGGTGATAATCTGTGCTAGCGAAAGACTAATAATTTGAGGCAGTCAGCCGGGGCGTATTCGGTAGGGTACCATTTACTTGCAAATAATGGAGATAATGAGGGGCTGTTTCGGGCGGCGATCCTACAGAGCGGATCGCCACCGGGACCCACTTGTAAGTGAACTCTGAAGAGTAATATTGATGTAGCTAACAGGTGGTAGTGAATTCATTGGGGCACTTTGATGAGATGTATAATTCTGTCGTAGATATCCTTGGGTAACTTACACTTTCCCGCGTTAATATGGTTCTTTGTGGTTCTTATGTTGATTTTCATCAATAGCTGTTCAAATACTTCCGATCGTCTCCAGTGCCTACGGGAAGTCCCTTACGAACAATTATTTGATGCACTACAGCCACAATTATACACGTGGACACCAGTGGTTGATGGTGATTTTATTCCGGGCTGGCCGTCAGACCGTATGGCAGCTGGAAAGTTTGCGAATGTGACTATTTTGATTGGTGCAAATACTGTAAGTTTCCGAAGAAGGGTGGATCTATTGGCGTCAGTGAAGTCTAACATGATATACAGGATGAGGGAACTGCAACGTTCTTTGGCCCTAGAAATATCATTAATACCACAGAAGACCTTAGAAACTATCTCTTGAGTGTGTCACGCCCCGAATCCCTAGAATGGAACAATGCGTTTCTAATATGACTGCGTAGATGGATCACTCCCGGCCACAACTCCTTCTTCGGTGGAAAAACTTTTGGAATTGTATCCAGACGACCCCGCTCTCGGCTGTCCCTTTAATACTGGGTCTGAGAGATTCGCGGACCAAGGATACCAGTATAAAAGAGCAGCTGCTATAGTTGGGGATTACGCCATGGATGCGGGTAGAAGACAAACATCTGAGGCTTTCGCAAACAGAGGGAACAAAGTTTTTTCGTACAGGTTTGACCAATCACCATGGAATGGTAAATTGAAAGACATCACGGAGGTGGCTCCCGTGTATTCAACCCATTATGCGGAGGTGAGTCGTCCTAGGCCAGAATTCATGAGTGGAAAATAACTTGCCTTGCTATAGATCGGCTTTGTCTTTAACAATCCTAGTACAACCATATCGACATATGTGGGGCCAGATCCGGCGGTGAATGCATTGTCCCGCTTGATCTCGCGAAGTTGGATAAGTTTTGCTCATGATCTAGACCCAAATAACCATGGAAGTAAGTGTATATTCTTTCGGTTACCCAATAAAACCATCATTTTCACTGACATCTCCTTGAATAATGTAGTTCAAGGTGCCGCAAAATGGCCTGAATATAAGTATTCAGCGTCGAATATAGTTTTTAATTCGAATAGAACTTATGTGGAGAAGGATGACTATAGAAAAGAACAACTAAATTTTTGGGGAACGATCTGGCATGAGGTGGGATGCTGATTGGATCATTTAATTCGTTGTATACATATGTTAGTTCTTAGGAGGACGTGGCAGCACAACATGTACTGGTGTTTAGGTAGTTAATTTGAATTGGCTACTGAGCTTATTGTTAGCTTGTTGCTGTATTTGTCCTTAAGCTTACTACATAAGAAGCTTGAGCTCATCGGAGAAAAGTAAGGGGTCGATAGGTATTCTCTTCGTCCCTTCGTGTGTATCCCAAACGCTTTTAGAACTCGACCTCATACAACTATAATTGCGTAAAGCGTGATATTGATATTCTGACGTCCTGTATTGAAGAAACGAGTGTCGACCGAGGAAACGATTAATCGAAGTGGAAGCCGAAGCAGAAGCAGGAATCAAAAAGTATTTAATATTCTTTCCTGTCAAATCTAAAGTGCGAAGCGTTTTTGATGTTCGAAGTTCTAATTCAGAATGTATCAGGAAAGGATCAATGTTTACCAAAATATTACCATATTCCATATTTTTTCTGTTATTGGTGACAGACGTGAGGGCGGTTTGGTCAAAACGGTAAGTAAAGTCTCCGTTGCGGTTGCAGATATGTATTGCCATGGTTGAGGGCTTGAGCACCATGCAAGAACATCTCTCCTCGCGAATTATCTCATCGCATTCCCCCGCTACCCCACACTTCAATTCCCCGCACTGGCTATCCTATCACCATTGAAGGTCTCCTTCATTTTCTTTGCCCTCTCTCTCTTCGTCCTTCTGCTCTCCTCATCCCCAGTCGTGGCTCCCCTTCCTCGTCTTTGTGCTCTGCTTCGTCAATTCCCCCGCTCTCAGCTCCTCTGCAACCAAACCTTCCGTGCTTTACCATCAAACAGGTTACTTACAACTCTCAGCATGGGTTCTTATCCGAATCCCCCTCCAGCTCCTAGATTCACCCATACTCCGGAGACACTGAAGAAAGACACCCAGCGTATCATTGAAAGCTCGCGTAAGCTCGATGACACACTTGCCGCAGAGATTACCCCAGAGAGTGCTACCTTCGAGAATGTTGTCAAGCCTTTGGCTGAAGATGAAAACTACATGAGTCTCGAGGTTGCTATACTGGGTTTCTATCAGTATGTCAGCACAGACAAGGCTCTGCGTGATGCTAGTAGCGAGTCCGAGAAGGAGCTTGAGGTTGGTAACCACTCATTGCTGGTAGAAGGATGTTCATATGGCTGATATCACGCATTACTTCCTAGGAATTTGGCATCGAATCTTCCATGCGTCAAGACATTTACAAGCTGGTTTCAGCTGTTGCCGCAAAGAATGAGACGAAGACCTCTGGTTTAGACCCAGAGTCACTCCGTCTCCTAGAAAAGATGAACAAGGATTACATCAGGAACGGTTTGGCTCTTCCAGAAGACAAACGCGAGCGTTTCAAAGAGATCAAGAAGGAGTTGTCAACACTTGGTATTGAATTCTCAAAACGTCTCAACGAGGAAAACGGTGGAATTTGGTTTACTCCAGAGGAGCTCAAAGGCGTCCCAGAGGATGTTTTGGGTGGTTTGAAGAAAGGTGAAGGAGAGAACGAGGGAAAACTTTGGTTGACTTTCAAGTACCCCGACCTTTTCCCGGCCATGAAGTACGCAGTCAATCCAGAGACAAGGAAGAAGATTTTTATTGGCAACGAAAACAAGTGCAACGAGAATGTGGCAGTCTTTAAGAAGGCCATTGAACTTAGAGATGAGAAGGCCAGGCTCTTAGGATTCAAGTCCCATGCCGAATTTGTTCTCGATGCTAAGATGGCAAAGACTCCCGAGAAGGTTTACGAATTCCTCAACGACCTGCGGGGGAGGCTTATCCCCGGCGGAGAGAAGGAAATTGCTCGGCTAAGAGAGTTCAAGAAGGCTGACACCCAAGCGAACAATGTGACTGATGATGGACATTATTACCTCTGGGATCACAGGTAAGGTGGCTCTTGGGGTTTACTATTAGGACAAAGTTAACAGATTTGATACAGGTATTATGATCGTATGCTTCTTGAGAATGAATACAAGCTCGACGCTCAGAAGGTTGCCGAGTACTTCCCTATTGCGCATACGATTGAAGGAATGATGAAGATTTTCGAGACCCTGTTTGGGTTGGAATTTGTTGAGGTCACGGGTGACGAAAAGCATGTCTGGCACGAGGACACCAAGCAGTTCCGCGTTTATAACGAGAAACCAACAGACGGCGCGGAGCAAGAATTTGTTGGATGGCTTTACCTTGATCTCCACCCCAGAGAAGGGAAATATGGACATGCAGCCAACTTCAATCTGCAACAGGTATATCACTATCTAGATGCCACTGCGAGACCGCTTGCTGAAATAATTAATGTGTATAGGGTTTCTTAGACAAGGAAGGGAAGAGGCGTTATCCCGCAACTGCGCTCGTCTGCAATTTTTCCAAACCAACGGAGAAGAAACCATCTTTGTTACAGCATGATGAAGTGGTGACCCTTTTCCACGAACTTGGTCACGGTATCCACGACCTCGTTGCAAGAACTCGCTATGCACGGTTCCACGGTACGAATGTCGTTCGTGATTTCGTAGAGGCACCTTCTCAGATGCTTGAAAACTGGTGTTGGACCGCATCTGAGATTATCTCTCTCTCCTCACACTATGAAACTGGCCAGAAGATTCCCGAAGATCTTGTCAAGACCATCATCAACACCAAGCATGTTAATGATGCGCTCTTCAACCTCCGTCAGCTTCACTTTGCCTTCTTCGACATGAAGGTTCACACTTTACAGGCTCATGAGGATGTAAAGAAGCTTGACCCTACTATTGAATACAACAAACTCCGCACGGAGATTACACTCTTGGACCCACCACAAGGGCTAGGTGATGTAAGTATAAATTTGGTCTCCAGTCGGTTTCTGGAGGTAACAATGCTCATATCATTCACAGGACTATGGTCACGGTGAAGCCACCTTCGGACATCTCATGGGCGGTTATGATGCTGGTTACTACGGATACCTTTGGTATGTGCATTCTATCCCCGCACTAATGTTATTGAGATCTAATTGAATATATAGGTCCCAAGTATTTTCAACCGACATGTTCTACTCGGCATTTAAGGCAGATCCGATGAACGGTACCCAGGGAAGGCGGTATCGCCATACTGTACTTGAAAGAGGTGGAAGTCAAGATGAGATGGAAACCCTCAAGCAATTTTTGGGTAGAGAGCCTAACTCAGATGCGTTTTTCGAAGATTTGGGACTCTCAAAGAAGTCGTCTTAGACGCATTCTCCTATGTAGCTGGACTTCGGACAGATGATTACTAGCTGCATATATGTACTGCTTTCATTTTGAATAATTCTATGGGCGATGGTCCTGCTGCAGTGCATCAAGTGTTAATTAACGTTCTTCTTTTTGTAGAATGCTGTTAAAATAACTTATGTGACTATAATAGTAACGAGTATTCCTGCATTGGGGACTCTCCCGTACTTTCATATGCGCCAAGGTCTCACCAGTCACGCTGGTTGAGGTTATCTAACAAGCAGCTAAGACCGAAAATGGAAGAAAGCAGCGGCTAGAGACGGAATGTCGCAATCAAGCGTGGGGTGAAGCTGAACCTGCATTGCCCCTCTACCACCCCTAACCCTCTACGTCCCTTTGGGAGTTTGCCTCCCTTCCTCTTTCTTTCTCCCGTTCAGGTTCTTACATCAATTATACCAAACACCTATTCACCTGTGTGCACCAGTAATGTCGGCTCAAAACTCCCTTCCAACTCTACCCACGAGCTTCTTAAATAACATCACCGAGCACATCGGCGATACACCACTCGTCCGCCTCAACCGCGTTCCTCAGAGCCTAGGCATCAAGGCCACTGTCTATGCGAAATGCGAGTTTTTTAATGCCGGTGGCTCTGTCAAGGACAGAATTGCTAGGAGAATGATTGAAGAGGCCGAGAAGGATGGAAAGATCAAGCCTGGAGATGTGTTGATTGAGCCTACCTCCGGAAATACGTTTGTTACTCCATCTTCCTTAGATACGTATGAACCATTGGGCTAATTGTGTGATATGAAGTGGTATAGGGCTAGCTCTGGTAGCAGCAGTCAAGGGATATCGCGCAATCATAACCCTGCCAGAAAAAATGTCCTCTGAGAAAGTCGCTGTATTGCGCGCTCTCGGTGCAGAAATTGTTCGTACGCCTACCGAAGCAGCTTACGATTCTCCGGAAAGTCATATCGGTGTAGCGAAGCGCCTTGAGAAGGAGATTCCGAATTCCATCATCCTGGATCAATACGGAAACCCAAATAATCCTTTGGCTCATGAGCTGGGCACTGCGGAGGAGATCTGGACTCAGACCGGCGGGAAAGTGGATGCAGTTGTTGCGGGTGCGGGAACTGGTGGAACCATTACCGGAATTGCAAGGTAAGATTTTGTTTCTACCCCCCCTGCTTAGACCTTTTTTCTCCTCTTTTTTCTTCTTTCCTTTTTTTTCGGGGTGTGGGGGGTGGGTTATGAGATGAGGGGCAGGGATGGCGTGATTTCAAGAGCTAACAAGAATTTGTAGGGGTTTGAGGAAGCACAATCCAAACGTTCTCGTTGTGGCTGCGGACCCAGTCGGTTCGATTCTGGCAGTCCCCGCGTCTCTCAACAATTCACATGAGGGCTACAAGGTTGAAGGCATCGGTTATGATTTTGTTCCCGAAGTACTTGAACAAGGAATTGTCAATACTTGGATCAAGACTACCGACCGCGAGTCATTCCTGTATGCCCGTCGTTTAATCAAGGAAGAGGGCCTTCTTTGTGGTGGCTCTTCTGGCTCTGCGTTGTCAGCCATGGTCGACGCTGTCAAAGCGAACCCAGAACTCAACCAAGAGGGAAAGGTCATTGTTGTTATTCTCCCCGATTCCGTCCGTAATTATCTCAGCAAGTTTGTCGATGACACTTGGATGGAGAACAACGACTTCATCCCCACCCAAGAGATCGAGCAGGCCCGGGAAACTCAACAGTGGCAAGGTGCCACGATCAAGGATCTAAAGTTGAAACCTGTCGTTACTGTTCGTGATACCGCCACTGCTGAGGCTGCGATCGAGATCATGCGTGAAAAAAGTTTCGATCAGCTCCCAGTTCTTGGGAAGTCCGGAAGGCTTGTTGGTCTAGTCACTCTTGGAAACTTACTCAGTTACATCTCCCGGGGATGGGCTACCAGTCATACCACTGTCAAAGAGGTCATGTTCGATTTCACAAAGATCAAGGAGATTGTTGGTGATCCTAATGAGATTGGATCTGTTAAACCCACAACTACTACTGCGGATGGAACCAATGGCCCTCAATGGAAGCGCAGATTCGAAGAGATTACTCTGGATACACCCTTGAGTGCCCTGAGCCGGTTCTTTGAGCATAACTCCGCAGGAGTTGTCACCCAAAGAATGGGCTCGGGAGAGGGCCTATCCGTTATTCACGTTGTTACTAAGGTTGACTTGCTTTCGTTCCTCGTTAAGGAGGGGAAGAAGGAGAAGGTCACGATTTCTGCTTAAGTTCTCATATTTTTGGTTCTATGTATGGGTATTGGGTGGATGGTGAACGGGGCGCTTTTGATTTAACTTCAACGTTTTTTTGCGGGCTGGGGTATTACAATGGGCGTGCTTGCTATTCTGTCTTCTTATGTTCTTTTTTGTAATTACTGGGAGTAGATAGACGGTTTGTTTAGCCTTTAGTTCAACACATAGGCGTACAGGATTGGAAGGATTGAATTAGGGCAACGTACAAGTAAATGGCTGGCTGATCACAGTTGTTTTATCTATTTTATATTTCCTTATATTGACATGACGGAGGGTTTTGGGGAAGGGGGGGATATTCTGGTTACAAGTCTGTACTGATTAACGCTGGTGGCGGAGACCAGCGAGTGTCGTAACCCCCGGCCCGCATACACGAATGAACATGTACACGAAGTATCACTCGGTATTGTTGAAAATAGCATGCTCATCACGTGAAAATAGGCCGTGCTGGTAGATTCTGAGCGCGGTGCATATTATAGTCCACTTTAGGGTTAGGGATTGTTTACGCGTTGCCAAACGCGCGCATCACAACACTTCTTTCTTTCAGGTCGTGAGAGCTCCATTGACCTCTTCCACCCACCCCCTCCACCCCCTCCACCCCCACCCCGCTTCACGCGATTCAATTAATCTACGAAATTCATCTCTCAAAATGTCCGCGCCGACTAAACGTCGCTCTGCCCGCCAATCTTCTTCACAGCAATCAACCCCGCGCCCTGGCCGCAATGTAACCAGCACACCCCTCCCTCCACCAGCAGAAGAAGAGAATGCTGGTACATCACCACTCTTTTACGGCGGCTTGACCTCGAGTCCTATGCCTTCGAGTGATCCTGTTAGGATGAGTTCTCCAACGCCTATTGAGGAGAGGAGAAATCCTTCCGCCGCTGCGGCAGGCGGAAGACTGGCAGCCATTCGAGGGAGGGCAGCATTGGATAGTGACATGAGTGGGGGTAAGTTTATAGTCTGCTTCTTTTTTTTTTTTATGCTGTAAAATTTCTAATGAGGCGTAGGCTCTTCACCATTGAGATATGTACCTAGTTCTTCCCCAGATAGAGATATGGCTACACCAAGAGATGTGAGGACCCCGCGAGCTGGCGCTCCTAGTTCTAGCGCGGGTGTATTGAGAAGGTGCGTTGGCAACATTGTGGTTCAGCTATCTTGGGCTTCAGTTCCTACCTTACTTTACTTCATCCTCCAATTCTGCCTCATATTGCGGTTTTAATAAGAAAGCCCCAACTAATACTCGTAGCAACATAGGAACGGAGATGCAATCGCTAGCACCCCCGCTCGTTCCCGCCGTGGAGATTTGCAATTTTCCGGTATCAACTCTGCTACCCCTACTCGACGCCGTCTCTATGTTGATGAGCAGGGCCTTCCTGTTCGGGGGTACTGATGCTGCACACCCTCCCTCCGATGCTGCGACGTATAGTGCTGGTCCTACGTCAGAAATCTCGGACGGCCCTAAACGTCTCATTTGGGGTACCAATGTTTCCGTGGAAGAGTCTACCCAGGCGTTCCGGAAGTTTCTTCGAGATTTCAAACGTCGCTACCGCATGCGCATGGATGAGGAATTTGTTGCGCCAGGTCAAGGAGAGGAGCTGGTTTACGTGGATATATTGAGGCAGATGAGGGCTCTAGGGACAAGTAATCTGAATCTCGATGTGAGAAATCTTAGGAGTTATCCACCAACGAAAAGATTCTTTCACCAGCTCCTCAATTACCCTCAAGAAATCATTCCGATCATGGATACCTGCGTGAAGGATATCATGCTGGAGATGTTGGAGGAGGATGGTGCAGATGAACAAGAGTATCAAGAATGCATGGAGAGAATCTACAAGGCCAGGCCATTTAATTTGGAGAAGAGCGTGAACATGAGGGACTTGAATCCAGCAGGTGGGTCTATCGCTCCTTACCAGAGGCTAATTGCTGACAAAGATGATAGATATTGATAAGGTTATTAGTGTAAAGGGATTGGTTATCCGAGTCACCCCCATCATTCCGGACATGAATAAGGGTATGCCAGGCAACTGAAGATATTATATTTCATACAGCTAATTTCTGTAGCGTTCTTCCGTTGCCATGTTTGTGGACATACCGTCACGGTAGAGATTGACCGGGGTAAAATTGCCGAACCCACCGAGTGCCCGCGTGAGGTTTGCAAAACCCCGAATTCAATGCAGATTGTCCACAACCGCTCCGACTTTTCGGACAAACAGGTCATCAAGCTACAAGAAACTCCGGACTCCGTTCCTGATGGTCAGACACCTCACTCTGTCTCGTTGTGCTGTTACGATGAGCTGTGCGATGTTGCAAAAGCTGGAGATAGGATTGAAGTTACTGGTATCTTCAGATCTGTGCCTGTCCGTGTGAACCCAAGGCAACGCAATATCAAGAGTTTGTTCAAAACGTATGTTGATGTCCTTCACATTCAAAAAGTGGATAAACGCCGCATGGGACAAGATACATCAACCTTAGAAGAGGAGGTCGCAGGCCAGGTTGCGTCTGACCTTGACGAAGTCCGCAAGCTTTCCGATGAGGAAATCGACAAAATCAAAGCAATTGCCAACCGTTACGACGTTTACGAGCTTCTATCTCGCTCCCTTGCCCCTTCAATTTACGAGATGGAAGACGTTAAAAAGGGAGTCCTGCTTCAGCTCTTTGGTGGCACCAACAAGACATTCGAAAGAGGTGGTGCTCCTCGCTACAGAGGTGATATCAATGTTCTCCTTTGTGGCGATCCTTCAACTTCAAAGTCTCAGCTCCTCCAATATGTCCACAAAATTGCTCCTCGTGGTGTCTACACCTCTGGCAAAGGTTCTTCTGCAGTCGGTCTGACCGCATATGTCACCCGTGATCCAGAAACTCGCCAGCTTGTGCTCGAGTCCGGAGCGCTTGTCCTTTCTGACGGTGGTGTCTGTTGTATTGACGAGTTTGATAAGATGTCAGAAGCAACTCGCTCTGTTCTCCACGAAGTGATGGAGCAGCAGACGGTCTCGATCGCAAAAGCTGGTATCATTACTACCCTTAACGCTCGTAGCAGCATCCTTGCATCAGCAAATCCAATTGGCAGTAAATACAACCCTAACCTCCCCGTCCCGCAGAACATCGACCTGCCACCTACCCTTCTCTCGCGTTTCGACTTGGTGTACTTGGTGCTTGATCGCGTCGATGAGACTGCGGACCGTCGACTAGCGAAGCACATGGTAGGAATGTACCTCGAAGATAACCCAGAGTCTGCTGCTGGCATTAGCGAGGTTGTTCCAATTGAGACACTCACAGCATACATCTCATATGCTAGACAGAATATCCATCCAAAGTTGTCTAGTACTGCTGCGGACGAGTTGGTAAAAGCCTATGTCGAGCTGAGAAAACTCGGGGAAGACGTTAGAGCCGCTGAGAGAAGAATAACAGCTACAACTAGACAGTTGGAGAGTATGATTCGTCTTTCTGAGGCTCACGCCAAAATGAGATTATCAACCGAAGTCACTGTCGACGATGTGACCGAGGCTGTCCGTCTCATCCGTTCTGCTATCAAGGAGTCTGCGACTGATCCCCTTACCGGACGCATCGACATGGATCTCCTGGGAGGTGTATCCAATGCCGAAAGACGTAGAAAGGGCGACCTCAGGAACGCTCTCGCTAGTTTGTTGGACGAGATGAGCAGAGGTCCGGCTGCTGCTGCTGGAGGCGTCAGATACACAGAGGTGTTGAAGAGGCTCCAGGAGCAAAGCGGAAAGAAGGTGGAGAGTGGGGAGTTCGCCGAGGTCGTTCGGGGACTTGAGACGGAGGGAGTTGTTAGGGTCAGCGGTGATGGGGCCAGGAGAGTAATCAGGAAGATTAATACCTTTTAGAGGAGGGTTCCTTTTTTTTTTTTTTTTTTACATGGATGCCATAAGTGTAGCTGATTGATGACGGGATGTCGCGGCGCAATAAGAGGAAATGAATGATACCAATTTATGGATCACAACAATAATACCTTTTTTCCCCCTTCGTAAAGAGATCCCTGCTGCGAGTGACGAGACATGATTGGACAGTCATGACCTGGATTCCCTAACTAGTAACCCAGAACTGACCCAGAGTCCAGGTTCTGTCTGTCATATCCATCGTCGTGCCTTACAATGCAGTAGCTACATGTATGTTTCATATGTAGAGTAATACTCTGAGTAGAGTACTCGCGACCAGCAACAAGAACCCGAATATGCAGCTGCAAGTCTTTGGTGTATTTTTGACTTCTACTCCAATGGAAATTGCAGATTAGGACGTGCATTTTCGGGTTCTTGTTGCTGGTCGCGAGTAGGTACATAGAGTACAATCTCACATGTCTCCAGAATATTCGCTTAACGCTCCCTGCGCTGGGAAATAGCTGCGAGACAGCAAGGTCGACGGCTATCACACGTGCATATCCGGCCACTGCTGCTGTACAACGCAGCAGCAGAGCTCGATCCTATTTAGTGACCTATTCCCCACTTCATGGTCCCGCGGGGGCCGGTGTATGTAGAGTAGTTAGTGGTAGAGACAGACAGTTTCCCTTTCCCTGGGACCTTCCCTTCCCCCCACCCCCCAAAAAACGCGTGCTGTTTCCCCAAACATTTATTTTTCCGTAACAATACTTACCAAATCCTGTTTAAATCTTGATCACCATCTTGACTGTATATCAAAAAAAGTGTACTCTATTCTAGCTAGCTACTCTACCAAACACGCCAACCCTCTTTGTCACAGACTAGACGTCTTCACTCATCAAAGATATGTATGTGTATGCAGTGAAGTATCTGCTGTACACTCCTCCGGAGCCTGTGCCACCACCCCCGTCGCTCTCGGGCCCAAGCAGACCCCCAGCTGTTATTGTACCTTCGAGCTCGCGCCAGGAACCCTCGAGCTCGCACCAACAATCTTCGAGTTCACGACAGCAGGCGTCAACGATCGTACGCAAAAGGTCCTCGAGTCTGTTTAACCAGCCATCGAGTTCAAAGCAGTACCCGCAACGAGAGATAGAAGTGGATGAAATTAGTATACCAGACCTTGCCAAGATCGAAGTCGATTCGTCATTCGTATGTTCCCGCCCGTGGAAGATGGTGGTGGTGGTGGTGGTGGTGGTGGTGGTGGTGGTGGTGCGTAGACCTGATGGCAGAGACATTGTATAGGACAAGGAGACTTCTGGGATGGAGTGCGATAGTATGGAGCAGTCGTGGGTTTCCCTGAGTGTACGAGTGTTACAGGGAGAGTGGAGCGATAGCTGACGGAGGTGTAGTTGTGATTTCTCGACGGAGTCTTTGACATCGAGTATTTATCAGTGGGTATTGGATGGTTCTGTGTTTGATGGACAACGTCGGTGTTGACGGTGGTGCATGTAGGTACCGGTATGAGAACGGACGGAGGTACCACGCGTATACGGAAGAGTATGCGATCAACTATCTGCTCTGTTGTTTAGAATCACTGGAACTTTCTGACCGAGGTGCGCGCTAGTAAATATATTCTGCCTAACGACGAAGTACGAAACCTCCAAATTTTGAAATAATGATCGATCGTTATTGACCGTGCCCGTTCTTTATTATTAGGCCGAGCAAGACCGGTTGGCTCCTCCGGTAGCACAGAATACATACATATTACTTAAAACTAATGGATTATTATTAGATTGGATATATTGCACCATACGTATCTTGTCATGATGGACGATCAGCTCACTCTCGCGCCCATAGACCCGAACCCTCAGAGGATACTGGATGTGGGTACAGGCACTGGGATATGGGCGATCGACATGGGAGAGTAAGGGACTCCGCTCCTTTTTGCAAAATAGTAGATACCAACTGACATGGAATAGGAGATATCCATCTGCCGAAATCATTGGAACCGATCTCTCGCCTATTCAGCCCTCATGGTAGCTTCTTCACCCCCCCCCCCCCCCCCGGCGGATACTGATACAAAGGTCTATACCTAACAATACATTTTAGGGTCCCCCCAAATGTTCATTTCCAGATTGACGATGCCGAGTCCGAATGGACCTTTCCTAAGAACTACTTCGACCTGGTACACATCCGTCACCTCAGTGGAGCCATCAAAGATTGGGAGGCTCTCTATACCGAGGCCTATAGGTAACTACCCAGCCTTAACCTTCAAGAGCATGATCCCCACAACTAGTTCGTATGCTTATATACCCCCCCCCCCCCCGTTTTTACAGACACTGTAAACCCGGTGGTTGGATCGACATCGCCGAATTCGAAATGGACATCTTCTGCGACGACGGAACCCTCTCGCCCGACTGCGAGCTCAAGCAATTCTATACCCTCGTTTCGCAGGCTACCGCTATTACTGGCCGCGAATTCAACAACGCTGCCAACTTTCTCCCCATCATTGAGAAGGTTGGTTTCGTTAATGCGCACCATACAATGGTCAAGATGCCGCTGGGTCCCTGGGCGGTGGACAAGAAGCAGAAGGAGATTGGCGCGTATATATTACTGAGTACGGAAACTGGTTTCGAGGCGTTTGGAATCAAGTTGTTTACCCAGGTGTTGGGGATGGGCGTCGACGAGGCGGGGGCACTCATCACCGCGGCGCAGAAGCAGGCGACCAATAAGAGGGTTCATGTGTATGGGAAACAGTGAGTGAAAATCCTTTCCTCGGGGAGATGGGGGGATCGGAGAGCTAATAGAGGGGTAGTCATCTTTATTATGCGCAGAAGCCGTTGGATGCGCAGAGTTAGTTTTGGAGAGAATATTTGGGGGCCAGGGGGCGTATCAGCTATAGAGGTGGGCCCGCGAGGGAAATTGTCTTTGTGTATGTGTGTGCATCTAGTCTGTTTATAAATGGGCTGTGACTTGGGTGTAACAATTTGATCAACGGTTTTGTTCGGTCCTCGTGGCATGTAAACAGTTTATCGATAAGGGACCCCTGGATCACAGTGCTGTTCGTAGCCCTATACTCTATCCCTTGGACGGATGAAACTCTCAAATTCGCGACATGGACCGTGCACGCACTTAGTAAGGCAGTTGTCCTTCTTTTTGCAGGTGATAACAATAATTGAGCCAATGAAAAATCAGCTACAGTTACCACATAAGGCTAGTGATAGCTGAAAGAGGGATGTCGCGAATTTGAGAGTTTCATCCGTCCAAGGGATACTCTGTACCTACTGAACGTTAAACCCACATATGATACTTTCTTGGACTGCACTCCTTTGGAAGATAGCTGGAAGCCGCGCTGCTCTACGTAAAGTCTTCCTTTTTATATAACAAGTCAGATGGCGCGCGGTCAATTTGTTTTGATAAGAAAATTCTCCCGCAAAAAGATGAGTACAAGAGAGACTTGATATTTAGTCTCTTTGTGTGTAGGTTTGAGTTTAATTCCAGTTCGAACTGCTGGCCCCTCACGAACATGCAGGTTCGTTCACTGCTCTAGTTGCTTGGGGCCAAGAAAGCGCTATTCCCAAATGTGAAGTTTTTTCAGGGGGAATGTGGGGCTAGATATCAGACACAGAGCAGTAAACCGAATATTTGATATACCGAAGGGTCTCGGACACGATTTTTTTCCCCCAGCAAAATTCGTGAAAATCATGCTGATATACCGAATTTCACTCCGGATCGAATTTTGGAACCTGACCCCCCTGTACCCCCCCCCTGTCCCCATACAAAATAATTCTGCAGTAACGAACTTGTGAATTTACTGGTGGCACACTAGTACTATTAGGGGTAGATTGTTTGGAGATACACCGCCGCTCGACCCATCATGAAGGTGTCAAAATTCACTTTTCTACGAACTGATACTTGTCTATTACTGCCATTTCTGCTCAGAGTAGTTCGAGTACGTAGTTCGTCATGACCGCTCCATATTGAAGTAAGCTTATAACCATATTGAGGGAAACTTGCCACGTACCCTTACTTGTACCCTCACTCATAGTGTTCATGTGGAATAAAACCTAACCCTATTATGAGCCTTCGAATGAATTCTGCTAACTGGATGATCTGCTATACCGAACTGATTTTTGTGGATTCTGCAGGTTCGGTATAGCGGGTCCTCGCTGTATGCTACAGGTTGAGCTTTAGACACCCGGCGTTCAAAGGGGATAACTAGGTACGCCCACCTCACGAGGATATCATTTTGCGAGTGATCGGCTGTGATCCCACCGTTTTTTTCTTCTTTTTTTTTTCCTTTCTCCTGTCCAACCCACTAATTGTATGCAGACCATAGTCTATGACAACACCACACAGTCTCAGAACTTCCAAATGACTTCCTCCACCACTTACTGAGTAATAACAAAAGAGGGGAAAGAAAAGAATGTAACCAGTGAGACCGCTAAGTACATAAGTATCCTTAAACCCATTTGTCCTTGATCCCGTTCCCATAACTATGGCCTGTCTCTCAGCCCACCCCATCCTATGCCGATCTCCCTGACTTCCTCCTTCCGGTCTTCGTCCCTTCCTCCCCTGATACAACCGAATTTCTAATTATGCGCTTTTATGGTTTGATAGATCTAGATGCAACGCTATATCCAAATTCACTAGTATTCGTCCCCAACATACATGTAGAAAGCTACATGTAAGCATTCTATCACCGGAACCTTCCTTCAGTATCCATCACTGCCGAACGTGGGAAAGAATAGAAGTGGTTATTACATGTACTTAATCACGCCAGTCCGAGGACGCCGACATACAGGAAACCATAGAAAAAACACAAGGTGATAAACTTAATCAGCCAGGATTAACGGGGGATGGTATAAGATTGTAACACTGTGCCCCTTCTATTAACTGAAGATGCGTATCGAACACTCTACTTTAGCCCATCCCACCTCCGGTTTAAACCTAAATCGTGATCGATGTTCAACTTCTAACAAATAGAAGTTGCAATTGAAAATCGATTAAATATAGAATTGTTTCAATATTCGTACAGTAATAAGAATAATAAAAAAGTGTTTTTGATTTTCAATAGAATCTAGCTTAGACCAGCTAATTGGCCATTCTAGATCTCGCCCCGACTCTGGTGTGCGCAAGTATAATCAAAACTGAGTTTAATGGCGGGGAAACATCATGATATCGTGGTTTAGGGGGTCTGTTTTTAGCCATAGGTAGAAATGAAGCCCCGTCTTCTGTGCTGGGTGAATCGACTTATTCCTGTTTTTTGTTGAAGTTTCAAACCCGGGCCTATGGATTTGAAGCAGAAGGTACTTTCTTGCCGTTAGACTACATAAGTGATCTGCCGGTTTGCGTTCGAATATGTAGTCACTCCAAGAGTGAGGCTTTCTCTCCCAAACTGTTGCAGTAAGGTATTAACGCCAAAAAGGATAAGGAGTATGGGGCAAAAAAGGGACTTGAAATAATAAATTTGACTGCCATCTTAAAAGCGTACGTATGCGTATATAAGTGGCAGGCAATCCGACCCGGTCATGACAAAAGATTAGATTTCCAACCCAACTCTTTTCATACCGTAATCAAGTCAAGCCTTTTTTCCATTGACTCCTGGATCTCGATGAGCCGAGTTAGAACGTATATTGTTTCTATATCCATACTATACATGCTGTCGAGGCATTGAGTATCACCCTCTCTTGACAGGATCATGGAATATCACTCGATATTATTCTGGGTTTTGATATTATCGTGTATTCCGATTCTCTTTTGTGTGTGCGTGGTTGATGGGTGTGATGGTGCTGCAATTAGACGCCTTCCCGTAAGCAATAGAACGTGCTCCATTGCAGTAGAGGATGGTTTTCGAATCGACGAGGTTCCCGTAAGCAAACATAATGGTGATTGCTATATATTCGAAAAGATCCAGTTAGTTTCTGATACAAATTGGGCATCGTGAAGCCATCTTAATTTGGGACCATTTCCGCGCCAGCAAGGTGTGCTCTCGATTGCAGCGGGTAGGAAATGGATAGCAGTATATCTACCGAACGGACTCCCAATTCTATTCTATAGAACCTCGATTTAGCAATAGAACGAGTTCTGTCGCTTACGGGAAGGCGTCTGGTAATGTGGATGATGTGGCTCGGTTTCGCAGGCAGTCCTTGCATAGTTGACCTGTATGGGTCTTTTGTATGACCGGCGGAGCGTCGTGGAGATCCGCTCAAAGTTTGAGTTCTGTATTTGGGGCGCGGGGCGTGCTAGATACCGTTGATCTACCTGGGTTAGAATCATAGCTTTGATCCGGGAGCGGGGATGTGGCCGAGGGAGGCATCTGACGTATATGAGGTCGAGTGCCCTCTGGGAATGGCTAGCTATATCTGCGATTAATGCCGTGTAAAAACGACCCAGAACACTTGTTTCTGCCCATGTTAGAAGTAGCCTGTTAAGAGACAGGTCCAGACTGTTGACGTACACCAATCTTCAATTAGTCCAAACGAGCAAAACAAACATCAGAGAGCGGGTTAAGGCTTATTCCTTGAGCAATGGCCGGTCTCATCTACCGGTTTATATCTGGCATGGGCTCAATACCAAGTGCTCATCGACCGGAACTGCTACCGGCAACCGCCCAACAGATTTGGCACGGTAGAGAGAGTGTTGTGACTGGTGGGTATCTTTCTATTGTATTATGATTGGGGAATAAGCTTGTGGACAAGGTCAGGGCCGTATACGCTAGGATAAGGTGGAGATTCGCGCAAGGGTTCAATTGCTCTGGATATTACCGGTGTTGTTTCGAGCTGCCAGTGTCTACTAGCCGTTACCTCCGAGAGGGAGCTACACCCGGCCAATTCGTTTGCAATTGGCGGGGTGTGAAAGCCTCAATTTGCAAGAGCTGTCTTTTGCTTCCATACCTTGGTTTGAATAACGAAGCCTGGCTGATACATATGGGTAGCCACCAGACAGCGGAATCCTTTGTTGGCTTGCCAACAAAGGTAACACAGAACTGGATTGGGGGGCTCCAATGTATAGGGCTGATTCAGCCATCTGTATGCTGTTGCCAGGGTCGGTGTCGCACCAGGGTTAGGTTCTGTTATCACCACACACACACACACCGCCCCCCCGCTGCTACATCATCCATCCCCAATAATGGACATCGCCGACTTCTCAACCACCCAGCTCGCCCTCCTCACCACCGAGCGCAATGCCGACATCACCCAGCAGACCACGCTCATCTCGCAGCTGCCCCCCACGGCGCTCGTCCGCCATGGCCTCGCGATAACAAACCTGCTCCCGGCCTCGCAGCGCACGGGCTTCGGCGGCCGCACCATCCTCGAGCTCGAGCCCGACAACGCCATCGTCAGCGACGGGAAGATCCCGCCCCACGGCGTACGGCAGGGTGATATCGTCCGCGTCGAGGTGCAGCCGGGCGGCAGCGCGACAAAGAAGGAGAAGAGCGAGCTGAGCGACAACGGCGTGGAGGGCGTGGTCCACAGGGTGTTTGAGGGGCGGATCGCGGTGTCGGTGAGCCCAAAGAGCGATGATGGCGGGGGTGTCGACCGTGTGTTGACGGCGGGGAAGAGGCTGTGGGTGGTGAAGCTGGCGAACGAGGTGACGTTCAGCCGCATGGAGAAGACGATGGGGCTGCTGAAGGGGATTGGGGAGAGCGGTGGGGGAAGCGGGCTGGTGGACGTGCTGTTTGGGAGGAGGACACCGGCGGTGCTGAAGAGCGGGCATGAGAGAGAGGATATCTCCTGGTTCGACGGGGGGCTCAATGACAGTCAGAAAGAGGCCGTCGGGTTTGCTCTTGCCAGTCCGGAAGTCGGTATGATTTCCAAGATCATTGACTTGTAGAGCGCTCATTGACACCAGAAAGCGCTCATCCACGGCCCCCCAGGGACAGGAAAGACGCAGACACTCCTCGAACTGATCCTCCAGCTTGTTACGCCCCCTCCTTCGTCCTCCGGTGAACCCGCGACACCAAAGAAGATCCTCGTCTGCGGCCCTTCAAACATCTCCGTCGATAACATTGTTCTCCGTCTCCCGGCTGCCCTCCCCATCATCCGTCTTGGACACCCCGCACGTCTCCTCCCCCGCGTCCTCGAGCGCTCCCTCGACGCCCTCACACGCACCTCCGAGGCCGGCGAGATTGTGAGCGACGTCCGCCGCGAGATGGACGACCTCCTCTCCAAGCTCAACGCCGCCGGAAAGTCCCGCATCAAGGGGAAAGCCCGTAAAGACGGCTGGTCCCAGGTGCGCGATCTCCGCGGCGAGTACCGCCGCCGGGAGGACAAGTGCGTGACGGAGGTTGTGCGCGGGAGCAAGGTGGTGCTGTGCACGCTGCATGGCGCGGGCAGTAGACAGATCCTGAGCGAGAAGTTTGATGTGGTGATCATTGACGAGGGCTCACAGGCGCTGGAGGCGCAGTGCTGGATCCCGCTGCTGATGACGAGGGGCGGCGTGCAGAAGCTGGTCATCGCCGGGGACCCCATGCAGCTGCCGCCGACGATAAAGAGTGTTACCGGCAGCATGTCTGCGCCGGTGCTGGACAAGCCGGCACACAAAACGGAGGTGCCTGACAGTCTGGAAGTCACGCTATTTTCGAGGCTGCTGACGCTGCATGGCGAGGGCATAAAGAGGCTGCTGGACACGCAGTACCGCATGCACGCGGACATCATGGCGTTCCCGTCAAAGGAGCTCTATGGCGGACTGCTGATTGCGCATGAGAGTGTGAAGGAGCATCTGCTCACCACCCTGCCCTACGAGGTCCAGGAGACGGAAGACACGGCGGCCCCGGTGGTCTTCATCGACACGCAGGGCGGCGAGTTCCCGGAGGATGTGGCGGGCGACCCGGTGAAGTCCAAGGCGGTGGCACTTGCGTCAGAGTCCCGCTCCAACCTGCTGGAGGCAAGGCTGGTGGCGCTGCATGTAAAGGCGCTCATTGACGCTGGCGTGAGGGAGGGGGATGTGGGCGTGCTCACGCCCTACAATGCCCAGGTTGCGCTGATATCAAAGTTCCTGCGCGAGGCGTATCCGGGCGTGGAGGTCAACAGTGTCGACAGTTTCCAGGGGCGGGAGAAGGAGGCAGTGGTGATATCACTCGTGAGGTCGAACGAGAAGCGCGAGACAGGGTTCCTGAAGGATGTCAGAAGGATCAATGTCGCGGTGACGAGGGCGAGGAGGCATTTGTGCGTAGTGGGCGACTCGGAGACGGTGGGGCGTGAGAGGGGCTTTCTGAGGCGGTGGATGGAGTGGCTGGGCGACGAAGCGGTGGTGAGGTATCCCGATGTGGGGGATGTCCTGGGGGGGTGGGTGGCGGGGCTGAATGTCGTGGAGTAGTTGGGGCTTTTCGGTGCTAGAATCAATTGCAATAATTTTCGGCTCATATTTGCGTGAGATTCGTGATAGCAAGGTCTGAGAGTGGTGGTGATGGCGTAGTCGTGATGGTGGTATAGCTGGAACGACTTTGTGCATGTTTGGCCATGCATGGGGGATATAAGGAATAGTATAGCTTATCAGACCCCACAGCGCCAGGAAGAGCATCCTTCACACACGATCAACCAGCAGCCTTTGCCCTTTCCGAGGCGCGGTGGTCCTCAGCACTGGTTGTGGGAGACAGTAGCAGTAGCAAGGGCTAAATGTTTACTTTGGAGAATCCCGTCCACCTGGATCATGGTAAAGCACGGGTCGGGAAATGATAGACTCTCGTTATAATGATTGTAATCGCTGGTCCCAAAATACCCTTTTACTAATATAGCATCTCCTTACTTGTAGTGGTGCTCCCCGTGTAATAATATACTCAACACGTATCCGTATATCGAGGGCGACTCTAGTGAAATCTTACATATATAAGGTGAAGGTGTTTGAAGGTCATTCCCAAGCTCGGGTGCTCGGGCGGCCTTGACATATATGTCAAATTGTAATTGTGGCGGATACGAAAGTTTTGCGTTTTCATCTGTCAAAATGCGTTAATATTTCGATCCCTAGTCAAGAGATGTGTAGCCACCGGCCAGCCGAGACCAGAGCCGCGGGCCCCCGGGCTCGCCCGAAGCGGCAACATTGTAAATTTAGCTGCCACCGGGGAAATGAAAATAGTGCTGTTGACTGCTTATTCCTTTCCTTTACACTTAGTTTTAGTACTGTTTGAATAACTGACCATCTGCAATTTGGAGAGATTCTTCCATCCACCGAGAGTTGGTCCAACCTGGAATCTGACCAACCAGGTCTTGGAGAATCCAATTAGTATGAGTATATATATATGGGAAGTACCCAGCAAGGTCAGGAGACGCGCTCCTGCTTGCGTTACCTTATAGTAATGGCAGAACGTCAAAGCTATTAATTCCAGTAGCGGGGGGTGTTCCATGCGGTTGCTTTCTATGGGGTTAAGCCGCCGCGCAGGTGCTATCGAGAACCGAGTGAGAATTCATGTACCAGGCACTGCTGGACCCGACACACAGAAGGAAACCGCAGGGCCGGAACCAGGCAATTCTCATGCGTGGGGGTGGCCCATCGGTATATCTCCGCCTCCTTTGTTCCATGTTGAATAAGGTGAGATTTATTTATTCTGAACAGTGGTCCTTTCTTTGTCTACCCATTGAAACCTTGTAGAGTTTCCGTTCCTTCGTTAAGAGCACTTGCACTTGAAATTACACGTCACTCACGCTTAATGTCCTAGGTGTTTTGCGTGTAATTTACGTAGGCTGCATGGAGATTGATCAGGGTTGAACGTAGATTCGCCAGAACACAAAGTAGTCAGGGGGGATTATCTAGTACGAATATCAATGGAGCGATCGATTGATAATAGATCTGCCAAGGTCTTGAGTATCTCATCATATCGAACCAATGGAAATCTTGGTTCAGGTTGCACTGCCATAAAACGGGAGGGTTTTTAGGCCTACATGCATATGGGTTAAATGGGAATAAGATTTGTGAGTATATATAAATACACGTACTACGTCGCCGATAAAAAATGATATCACGGCTCTGTTGTTGAAAGGCTCCAGGGCGTGGGGGATAAGCCGGCTCCGAATAGCAATGAGTATTTCTTTACAAAGCCTCACCTATATTATATATATCAAGTGGTACTAATACGGGCCTGTCCATGGTCGTTCAAAGTCTGTTTATCTGCTAATCTCCACCGGTCCTCTGGCTCACACGGAATGACGAAGCCCGTTTATAGTTCACCTGCATGTTACAAACCCTAAAGCTGCCACAATAAGACGAGACGCTTAGAGACTGGGAGTAAGACATATCTTGAGATTTCCTAATAAAGGAGAGAATTCACGCGTCAATTAAAATGTCGGAATTATGTGTGGGGTTTGCTTGGAAGGCTTCCGACCTGTTGTAATTTATGAACAAGCGAGTATTTGGGTATGTATGTCAATGCCGGTAATGCAGGCTACTAGTATCTGGAGGCTCCTGTTCGGCTGGTTGATTCCTTGCCTGCACATGGGAAGGTGGAGCTTCTATTGCTTTTGTCTGACTATCCCTAGGACCCATGCCCATTCAATGAGTAATCGATAGGTCGGCAATGAAGCAGGCTTTTTTTGTTCGCGCGGGTTGGCAAAATAATTGCGCCAGAGACAAATAAATCTGGCCATTGAGAGTTCTGGCACACATATCAGTCCATATAGAAGCATACCCGTGAGACTGGTCACTGTAGCATCCTCGGCGAAACTAAAGATTCGGAATTGTTTTAAAACCGTTCAGGAATCACAGGTTATCACTCGTGTATATGGCCTCTCCTTTCTGGTTTTATGATGTCGGGGTATGCCAGAATGCCCTTGAGATTTATAGGCATCCAACCAGTGAGTGCTTGAAATACATATACGAAGGACCTTTATGGCTAAAGAAGCCTGGTGTCTGCGAGAACTGGAGCTGGGTACAAGTATATACTTGATACCCGACTCCAGTTCTGTATCGTGACACGTACCTATGTACATGGCGAAACTCTTGCTCATGTAATGTTACATATATACAAGTATGCTTGCAAGAGGCATTGCTGGTCCCAAGCTTTGCGCTTGCGCCCGGATGAGGAAATGGTTGTACGTGTACGTACATTTTCGATAGGGTGCGGATATCGTGCTGGGAACATGTATTTAAAGTCCACAGATTATTATATATACGGGGGAACGGAAGAAAACCTTCAGGTTGAGCCCAACTGGACCCGGAAGTCTTAAATACCGTGCACCGAGGTCCCTACGTTACTAGGGGTAAGTGCTTTAGTATGCAGGGATTTCAATACTGAGGCTTCATGCTATGGTATTGTTTCTGTTGATTTGCAGTCATTACAAGTATATCGTTTCAGTGATGATCATGATCAGGAAAGCAACTCCGAGCTAGGTAAGTAATTATGTTTAAATCCTTAAAAACTAGGAGTTCTAAACTGATCCGAGATCATCAGCATGAACTCTCTGAGGTTATAATAGGCTCATCGCGTGAACATGGGTAGTGATACTAAGTAGTTGTAAATATAGTATCTTAAGTCCTCATAGTACTACACAATTCACTTTTATCTACCTAGAAATATGGAAGATAACCATATTGTCATGTCTCCGACTCGAGAATCGATATATTAGCTTGTAGGCATCTATCTCCAATGCTCTATTGACAATCTCGCAGCTCGCCCTCTTTTCGATACGAATCTGGCACGAATGATATGTCATGATGATGATAACGATCTACAAGTACAAGTGCGCTGCCCAGCGAAAATACCCGGGTTAGCTAGACAGTGTAAGCCTATTGATATCCGCATCACTTACGAGTGTCAGATATCATTAATATTATTCACCACGTATCTACAAGTATATAAATCTAGAGAGATTCTACTTCGGCTATGGCCCCCAATCAGACCCTCAGAGATGGGAGTGTATACGTAGGCTTGGGGTGTATGCTCAGTCTCCATTTCTCATCTTTTATCGGAGTTCGGAAGTAGCGAATTAAAAGTCACTGGAATAAACTAAAACGCTATAGGGGATAATTTGTCACTTTCAGTGACATGGAAGATCAAATACCGTCTTTAAATCGACTCAATTAAAAATCATCTAAAAACATCATTACATCATGCATTGGTCAAAAAGCTAAACGTCACAATTTAATGTGAAATAAGTTCCACCAACGGAAACTCTGCAGGTCTGCCTCCTCTTGGATAATCCACCGCGGTAGAAACAGGTACCGGCGGGACACCCTTATACGCGTCCATTAAAGTTTCTCGCAACACCTGCCTGCCACTCATGAGCCCTCTTCACCCGCTCTGCAGCTTTCCTTTTCTCGTCTCTGTCTTGGTTTTTCTCTCTTTCTTTATACCACTCATGCTCCTCCACTGCTTTCTTATGACTTTTATAATCCATGGTGGCGTAGGCTTGGTTAGCCTTGGCATTGTCTAGGTCCATCTTTGCCCTGTACGCGATGAGCTGATTAGCTCGGAACCTTGCTTCTTCGCCAGGTGCTGTCCTCCAAAAGCATCATGTCCAGGTGGGAAGACTGTCGGCTCTTTTGTATGTTGACGGTGGCCATGTCCATGTCCACGCGCACGATTCCTCTCAGCTTCCTTGCAACGTGAGCAAATCCCGCCCCGAGCTTTGCTAGTGACTGCCTGTACCTTGCAAGGGTTATATCGGCAAGCTTCACTCGTCGGGAGGAATTCCTCGGTGAAATGCCCGCAGCTATATTGGCAGTGTTTGACCTGGCACATGGTTGGTTATTGCGTTGATTTAAGCTGAGAAAGTCTTGTTGAACGCTGAAAGGCGTATTGTAATGGTGATGTTGATGTCTTAGATACAGTTATGGCGGGGTTGAGGGGCTTTTATAGCTGGCTATCTAGGGGAGTTATCATATGAAGATACTCCTTGAATGTACACGAGGCTTCGGTGGATTCATGTTGAATTCTATGGCTCTTGAAACACTAGGGGGGGTCCGGGAATATTTCAGTCTTCACTCGCAACTTATTATCTTGAAATTTGTTAATGATATATTTTAGTTGCGGTTGTGCCGTAACATAAATCGATGAGAGCAATGATATCGGATTGAATTGGTCAAGACGCCATGGTGTGGTCGTTACCACTTATATTATGTTGGTGAGGAAAGGACGCTTGGGGGTGTACGATTTATTGGAGGTATATTGAATAGTATGGAACTAGGACGACTGTTTAACCTTGTTCTTAGATATAGGGATACAATAGGCAGTAACACATACCAGAAATCAATAGATTCTGGTATGAGTGAGTACGGTGCCAGTGTTCTATCATTCATATCATCCACATATATCCATTAAGGAATCAACAGATCTAACACTTGGATTCCTAAGTTGTTACCAATAAAGGCTCACAGTTGTGGGATCG